CCCAGAGCGTCACATATGCACGCAAGTCCTGTCTGAAAGGGAGAATCTAATCTGCTTCGACAAAACACCTGGCCACAGGACACGAAGGGGACAACGACATGGCAATGTGCTCATTGTCCAACGATTACATTACATGCTTTCAGCAGCAGCAAGAGAAGAGGAGAAGGAGCAGCAAGTCCTTCTTCTCGTACTTGTGGCATGTAAATTTTTCAACACACTGAGCACAATAAACATTTGCACATGGCCGTAGGATAACATCCTCTTCATGGGACTGACATATATGTGTGTGTGTGGTGTGTGTGCATGTGTGTGCCTGGGACACCCTGGGACACGCACATGGCCATGGATGGCATTTCATTCGAGGCACGCAACCATTTTTGCCACAGGCAGCAGCAGCAGCAGCAGCACGAGTACAATATCCTTCAGGTGAGTCCTGTTCAGTCCATTATCGGCCGCAGGGCTTATTCTTGTATCGTTTTCATTGGCATCTCTCCGTTCTGCCTGCCCCCATTTTAATTTGCACATTTTCGTCTCTATCTCGTTGCTATTCTCTTCATAAATATGCGTATAATTATCTTTGTATAAATGTCACTTTGGCTGATTGTTTGGCAGTCTCTTCTTGATGTTCATACACATATGTTTGTCTATATCATATGAGTGTTTGTGTTTGGCTGTATGTCTGTGTGTGGGCAAGTAATTAGACAGAAAGTGCTACTGTTGGAATAACGAGAAGGGGACGACTAGGCAACCGTTTAATGAGAAGTTGTCAGACTCCCACCAGACAGACACAGACACCGATACAAACACTGCTACTGTTACTGCTCTCAGACTCAGACAAGAGGTCACTGCTCTGTTGCTGAATGGATGCGGCTCTCTCTCTCGCATAATGGGATGTTTGTATGTGTCTGACAAGAGTGAATTGTATATGAAACAAATATAATAATAATAAGAGTACGAGTACGAGTATAGGTAAATGTGTTAAGAAATAAGAACTGCTTTCCCTTTTGCTGTTGCTGCTGCTGCACTCGCAGATTCATCAACGCCAAAAGTTTAAATTAATGACGGCAGTCGAATCTCAATCAGACATCCATCAGGACGACTTTCGCAAGAAGCTCAAATAGCGCACATTAATTAAATTAGCCAATTAAAAGTTTTTGGGGCCAGGCTACAAATCTTCGGATTTGGAGCACAGCAAATAAATATGTTTGTTCTAGCATTAATGCCAAAAGCCGGCGGAAACTTTTGGGCTAAAACCCCAAAGCAAATCACTTATGCTTGGGCAAAGCATAGCGATGTTTATTCAAAATGAAATGGGCATAAAAGCTGTACAGAACTTACCCCAAAAAACACACACAGCGACACACAAACCGAATATTGATTTAGCGGTGATTTAGGCTTTTAGTTTATGGTTTTGGCACTGTTGCTTCTTCAGTTTATGGCTTCGTTTCTTCCGGGGAGTTCACATCTTTTAAAACTTGAGAGCTTGAGGCTTGGGCAATGGGCAACCTCAATGCCGTCGCCTCACAGCGAAATAAATAAAAAGGGATATTTTCGTGTTTTGTTTTTTTGTTCACTTAAAACTTAAATTATTCTTTTGTCTATGATGAATATTTGAGTTCTTGATGAATTATTAATTATTTGGCTTGAGTTTGTTTTGTGTGTCTCCTCTTTGGCGGAGGCTGCTGCTGCTGTTGTGGCTGCTGCTGCTTTTGCTGCTGAGATGTGGAACACTGCTTCGTTGAGTTTGAACTGAGCTCAAGTCCTGCCTGGCACGCGCTTTTATTGGCCGCCAGAAGGAAACCCACCACGAAACAGAGGGACAGACTGGGGGGCTGCCGCTGCTGCGTTCCTGGCCGACTGCCTGCCATGCGCCCCGAAAGGATACAAATATTTACAGGTGCCTGTGTGGGGATGGAATGGGTCTGCTTGGGGTCTGGGGGTTAGCTGAAAGGCGGCAAGGGGCACAAAAAGCTTATTTTTAAAAGATGTTTGCGTTTTCACTGAGAGAAAAGTTGTTAGGCAACTTGGACTCTATTTGATATTACAAAGGAAACACAGATTTAGAAAGTTATATAGCCTGGGACAGATGTATACCACTAGGCAAATAGCAAAATGAATACAAGTATCGATGCAGTTTAGTATGGATTTTGATTTATGGTAGAAATTGTAGCACAAATCAACTTAAGAACAAGAAAAAAACGTTATATATGTATACTTGTAAGTTATAAATTATTATTTTATTTTTCAAAACATTTATAATTATTTATTACGCTTGTTCCCTCATCCATAACGTATATATTTGTTTGGTAGAACATTAAGTTTTATGCCTGTAGGTTCATTCTTTTTCTGATAGCCCGACAACCCTGTTTGGAAAAGCTTTTCTCCGCTCTCTCTCTCTGAAGCGAAGCTTTCACGTTTCAAAACAAACCACCCACACAGCATCCTCATACTCTCGCTGGGTTAGCGCGCACATGGCCGGATGCCGAGTTCTACAACTTTACAACTGTGGTGAATTTCCCCCCACCCATTCCCCGCTAATACCAGGTCGCGTGCGAGTGGGCTGACAGAAGAAGAAAATACCGAAAGAACCTTCGGCAGCGGCTTAAGCCAAAACAAGGAGAGAAAAGTGGAAGTAGAGACAGAAAGAGAGATAGAGAGAGGGATAAACATAGAAGAAGACTACGATGAAAACAATGCAAACAAAAATTTGCGCTTTTACGAGCAAAGCAACCATCATCAACATGAGCATCAACATCCATTCCCAGCATCCATTCCAGCATCCATCCCCAGCTCCTACCCTTAAATTACCGGTCGTCATTCTTTCCTTTTTAGCGGGCAGGCAGGTCTTATCCTTTCTTTTGCCTCAACTTAGAACAGAACCCAAAGTTGGTCCTCGGCCTTTGGCTGGTTTTCTCACGCCTTGCGTATTTGTCTGGCACGCGTACTCGCAGTTTTCCCGCAGAATTTTCTTTTTCTTTTTATTAGAGTTTACTATGGCGGGAGCAACAGCAACAGCACAGCAGCAGCCGTAGGCAACAAATTGCCAGCCGTTTAAGCCACTTGGGCGCAACATGGCGTATGCGTAATTATAATTGAAATTTCGTGCCTACAGTTAATGAGTTCTCTGCTTGGCATAGTCCTTGGACGTAAATGTCTAAACGGTGATATTAACCTTTTAATAAGGAGCCACCTTAAGGTCTATTTATCGAGCATCAAACGGAATTTTTAATCAAAATAACTGACGCTGGTTCCTTGGTGGTTTCTTGGGTCGTTCCATGGGGGGAATGTCGCAGCCATTATCATGGCAACAATGTAGTCTTTTGCGCCCACCTCTGCGGTTGTATCAAACGATCTGTGGGGGAGCAGCAGCAGCAGCATCAGCACTTATTTCTCTCCTGTTGCATAATGGAAATGCGTCAGCGAAGTCGAAGCAGCAGCAACAGCAACAGCAACATGCATTTTACCACCCCCTGCACTCCGCTCAACCTCTACACCGCTTAAGATTGTATAAATATAAAAGCCATACATGACGTATACGCAACATTTGTATGGGGACGCCTCTCCATAACCAAGCCGCTGAAATGCTCAAGTGCTTCCCCGTTTGTTTTTCGAAAGTTTACAAAATAATTGCATTTGCAAGAGTTTTGTATATATGCGGGTTGCATGTTCTGATGATGAACCATTGACGTCAGTCTTGGGGTTTCGCCTCTTGACTGTGGGATTGGTTAACGAAGGATTGAAAGCTTTGCGGCTTTATTTGGGTTGAGTTTAATCCGCTTAAGAAGTCCTGTTGTCTGCCTGCAAAATGAAAGTTATACAAACCTCGACTTTAACTTGAACCTTGACCATAAATTATTGATTTGTCTGGTCAATTAGTCTCGTTAATATGATTAATGATGGCTGATGGGGTTGGAGCACGAGCATGCCAGACCCACAATTGAATCAATTTGACATTGAAACAAGAGCCGAGCAGAGCTGCCTTGAGCGAGCCGCTGCTGGAATCTCCCCCTCGATTTATTGAGTCACTAAAAGCAAAAGCCATTGCAATCAGCCCCATAACCTTTAGGCAACCCGAAAGTGAAGCCAGCCACCACTCTATCTCTCCCTCTTTGATTCTATTAGAGGATGGATGGCATTGTATGCGGGGGCTATATTTTAAAAGCTTTCATTATGACTGCCATAGAGAGAAAGAGAGAGGGTAGTAGTGCACGCAGTAAACCAATTTCGGTGTCTGCCTTACCTGTCTTCAGTCTTCTGTCCCTGACTCGTTCTACCTGTCCCTGTCCCTTCCACTTCCTCATACCCTTGCTACCGTGCTACACTGCTTTCTCGTTCTCTCCCTATCTATGCCACACTGAACCTTTCATTGTTTTGCTTTCAAGTTGCGCGGTAATTTCATTTGGTAATTGTATCCTGCAATTTGCTTTTGCTCTGGGGGCAATTTGATGGAGAAAAAAATCACAGCCCGCAGCTGGCAAATGTGAAAGGTCATAGAGAGGGGGAGCATAGGAGAAGAAGGCACAGTGAGTGAGGCAAAGATAGATCCGGCATCCATCAAACTGCATTGGAACGCAGCCAGCATGGAATTCATTAGCGGAAAATGGCCAATCAAAAGCACTTATCATCTCCGGTTAAATCACAAAAAGGGAAGGCAGTTTCCCCTCAAGGGATTCATCAGCTCTGGTCCTACAAAGGGATCTATCATCTCTGGTTCTACAGAGGGGTCTTTCATCTCTGGTTCCCTTCATGTAGGCTCTCTTTAATCTACGTTTACCCCCAATTGGAATCAAGATACCTGGAATTGGAACCCTTTGAACAACAACATCGTCATGCAATGCAGGTGGGGTACCTTGGCACTACGTATACGCAGCGTAATCATATCGCAGGCTTCTCTTATTTACGTTGACATTTGATGAGCTTTGATTAGCAGCGTAGTAACAGTTTCCCCCCCACCCCCACTCAGATTACTGTGTAATTCTTGCATTCATCTTAAAACTTACCTTCTCATCCTTGGCATAGAATAAATTATTTCGCTTCAAGCGAAAGTAGCGACGTCGCCAGCGCTGAAAGGACCAGGTGTGCTTCAGCAGGAAACCCTCTTTAATGATGGCAGACTAAAGAAAAATAAAGAGAATAGATGCGGGCATTTAAACAGCGTCGAATTAGACGTTTCCACTTAGTTAGAAAAACATTTATTCCAATGGCAATTAGCCATTGATGGCGCTGACATTGCACTTCACACTGGAGAGTCAATAATAATGAGTGCCACATGGCATGTCACAGCGCCCAGAGGTACATGGGACCTGTAACTGGAGATGGACATGAACCCGCTCCGGTCTGGTCTGTGGTGCCGACCGTCAATTGCAATCTACGGCTGGATGTCAAACATAATTGGCTGCAGGCTAACAAAGGCCAATGGCAAGTGTGGCTCTGTGCCGCTGTGGTGTGTGTGTGGGGCAACAATATGGCGAGCAATCAATTGTGCAAACAAAGGCCAATCACACTCAACCACAGACACATTTTTCTCTCCCCCATTCACACTTATTTGCGAGCCGCGGACAAAAGCCAATGCCAGTGTGAAAGTGTTGTGAGGGAAAAGCGAAATATAAAAGTGTAAATAAGCATCGGGGGCCAGAAGGCGACAAAAGTGACAATAATCTGGGCCAATTATATGACAAATAAACCTTTTGATTTGAGCAAATTGTGCGACTTGGTCAACTTAGTTGGACAGCTCTCACTCTCTCGCACTCTCCCTCCTTTAGAGCACTTCAGAAATCGATGAGAATGGAAAGAGAAAAAGGAATAGGAATAAGAATAGCCATGCCATGCCGCTGGCTAAAAAGCGCACAATTGCAATCCGTTTAAGTTTCGTTTCAGCCAGATCAAGCGCAATTTACTCCCACTCCTACACCCCATCCACCGGCCACGATTCCTTGGGGGACTAAAAGGAAATTCAACGTCAAATAATAATGGAAAAATCTTTAGAAGAAATTGCAACGAATCAAGTTGTAGAAAATTCCATTTGATTTTATTTTCTCCATTCTGTTTGTGCAGCAAAATTGAGGAAAGGAAAGCGGAAGAGCGAAAATGTTTGCGCAGCTAAGAAGAGTGGCCAACTAAAAGCTATTTTTAATGGCCAACTCTGACTTTAATTGTACTGAAAAGTTAACACACAAATTCTAAAGAAATTCTACTGCCACTTAGGTTGAATGACCCCGCACAAAAGCCGTGGGAAAATTCAATTGGAAAATTACTCCTCTGCTGGCCACTTTCAAGCTGTGAGTAAAAATCAAAGTTACGGTGCTATCATATCAAGATCAATCATCGTCAATCAATCATTCTGTGTGCACGGCCATGGCTACACATTAAGTATACGGCAAAGTGGCCAAAAGCCGACAAAGCCAGCGGCCGTCCATCAGGGCACAAGGCACAAGACAGCAAGACCAAAAAAAAGATGATGATAAGCAAGTTTGAAATTTTACGTTAGCCGGGTATTGATTTTGATTTAATATTTCCTACTGCTGCCTGGTCCCTGGCCCAACCCCTCATTTCTCTCTCTTTTTTTTTTTAGAGGTAAAAAGATACAAGATAAATAAAAAAAAAAGAAAAGACCGGTCCAGGGTCCATAGATATGGATATGATTTTCCCTTGTTGCTGCTCTCTCAGTTACGCAGCGTAAATATAACGTACAAATTTCCCACACTCTCTTTATTGGGGGTTGGGTTTTACGCTACTTTCTTCCTTTGATTTTCCTTAGCGTTTTGTTTGGCCTTTCCTTTGGTTTGACTTAGCTTCTCGATCTTTTATTGCCTCTTTTGCTACATTATGTATTAGGATTATGCTTAGCTTTCGCCAATATCCACGCTACGTTTGCCTTCTCTCTGACTATTTGATTTTATTTTGTGCCTGAAGTTTATAGAAATTAGCAGTTGGATAAACAAGGAGACCCAGCAGGAGCACATCTTGCGAAGGCTCACGTGAGTAGCAAGAAACAGTTGGCCAATTGTCTGTGTAAATAGTCGTAAATAATTCAAAAGTTCTTCTTCACCAGGCACGGACATGGGCACGGGCACGTGGCAAGGGCAAAGAGTGAGTTGAATGGGCCTGTCTCGAGGATATTGCGGCAAAAGTCTGCAAAAGTGGGCTCAAATAAAAGCAGTCGACAGACAATGCTATCCAGGACTTTTGGCTTTGTTTATTTTGTAGGTTTTTTCTCTGTATTGTTGGACTTAAATGGCTGAGAGCTGGGGGAGAGAAATATGTAAGGCAATTAAAGCAAATAGAAGCAGGTTAATCGCATTTCAGGGGAATATTTAATAAAGATTTTAATTTTTGAAACAAACTTATTCTGCTTAAAGCACAAACTATTCTTTTGTGTGAGGATTTTCATCTGCCAACGTATCTATGGTTATGAACCGCACTGTTCTGCCAACTGTTGAGGTTTTCATGACTGCCCTCTCGCTCTTCACTTCTCCATCTCTATTGTTCTACGTGTATTCTCTCTGCTGCTGCCGGTGTTTTGTGCTGCCATCCAGCTCAAGCACTAAGAAGCTTTTGTTTAACGTTTTGCTTATTGTTTTGCGGTTTGACATATGTAAACCCCCCCACACACACAAACACACATGTACATACGATAATGTGTGTGTTGAGGAGGACCACAGCCATGCCTCCATCTCCTTTAGGGTGGCACTTGAATGTTGCTTGTCTGTCACAATCAGGCAAATGTGTTTTGTTCAGCCGTCAAAACGAAATAAATCACAAATAATAAATGCCTGCACTTAAAGCACAAATTGCAAACGTGAAAAATTGTGGGAAAATTGCGGGCGAAAATGTAGCGAAAGTATTTGCTAGAATTTATATTGTTTATTTTGCTCTCTCATACATTCGAGTGTATTCCCCGGAGAGGTCAAGAGCCCCTGCCTGGACTTGGCTGTACTAAAAATACAATCAAAATCCTTTTCGAAAAGGCCAAGATGCAGCGATGCGTATAATTAACATCAAATGGCCAGAGCAACGCGGTTCGAGTGTGGGCGTGTGGTGGCGGGGGGTTTGAACTTTTGCCACTGTAACAAATTATTGAAACGACTCGTTGTCCAAGGGGATAATGAGAGAGAGGAAGGTTTTTGCAGAAGGTGCGTCGAACGCTTCAAAGTGACAACAAAACCATAAAGAACTTAATTGAAGCTTTCCTCGGGCTTCCTTCCTTTTCGCTTCAACATTTTCGCGGAGTTTTTTAGGGGCTTTCCTTTCCTTTCTGTTTATTTTCTTTCCTTTCCGTTGCTTTATACTTTCCTTTGAGAAAGCCGCTGTGCAACTATGGCAACATTTAATTAAAATATATGAATGGTTTAATGGCCTTCTTTTCTTTTGTTTTGTTTTGTGTGGGGCTCTCATTTTGTTGAGGTGATATTTTGTGGCCAGCGCCTGAAAGTCTGATGTCTGACGTTCGATGCAAATTATGATAGCTTTAGGAGCAGCTTTGGGACGCGACCCTTGATCTATGTGACACGAGATGACGTTGACACTTGAAATGCGGCATTAAAATATTCAGCAACTTCTTGAACTGCGCCTCTGACCTTTGGCAAACGGCACTGCCAGTGGCAGCACTGCTGGCGCCACTTGCAACATAAACCCTCTGGCACACACACGCAACGCCCTATCCCTCCTACCTCACTCTTTTTTGCGTGGCATGCAACTTCCGCTCCAGAAACTTTAGAGCTGACGCTCTGCTGCATCGCTGCATGGCTGACAAAGCCATGGAGGACTCTTTTCACTGCGGCAGTGCAGTGCAGGCTATACAGCCAGAGGGAAATTGAGTCTGGAAACTGCTGCCAGAGCTACAATGTCAGAGGGAAACTGTCAGGAAGTTCTGTTCCAAAAGGAAGACTTTCACAGGGAAACTTCGAAAGGAGAAACTTCCAGAGGATTATTGCCAGAAGAAGCACTAGCAAAGGGAAACCTGACAGAGGCACACTTCCAGCGAAAAGACTGTAAAAAGGAAGCACCCAGTGAAGGAAACACAGGCACAGCTGCCAGCGGGAAACAAACCCTGCCGGTGGGAGGAAGAAGGAGGAGGAAACTACCAATACTCACCAGATTATTGTTGCGCTTGGTGGACATGCGACGCTGGAAGAGGCGTGCCGGTTCCGTTTCAATTTCCGACTCCGACTCGGTGTCATCGCCATCCCGGCTAATCGAAATGATCGGTATGATGGGCACTGGCGAGAGGCTGCCAGAGCTGCAGCCACTGCTCCTGCCAGAGAGGCTAGAGAGGCTGCGTCCACTCCTCGGGCTGCGGGGACTGGCCACGTGGAGGGTGTCCAATTTTAAGTGGGCCATTGTCGGGTTTCGCTTACATTCACGTTCACGTTTACGTCTACGTTTTCTCTTCTACTTCTTGGCTTTGTAAAATTCCTTTGCATACTTTCAGGCGGGCGGCGGCAGCGACGGGGCGGCTTCCTTGGGGCGACTGTCACGTTGCAAGGACACGCAGCACAGCACGCAGAGCGTTGAATACAAAAAAAAAAATAATAATACGGGAACCCTGCTTAGAGTGGACGCACCAGTAGCCGCAGGTGGCAGTCCCCAGTGGCTTTTCGTGCTTATGTAAAAAGTTGCCGGGACACAAACACTGACACACAATGGAGGAAATACACCCCCAACCTCTAGAATTCCTATAGCTAGGTCTCTGTCTCTGTATCTGTGTGTGTTTCTATGTCCTTTGTTTGGTTGCTTAAGGGTCACACGCTTCTGGTCCAAGAGTGGCTTATGATATTACAATAATTGATATTACGAGCATATCAATGTCCGTCCTTTCGCCGTAGCACAAAAAAGTGTATACATTCAATATCAATAAATTTAGCAAAAATACTTGCACATAAACACATGTATATACCGTCCAATATCTTTTATATATTTATTTATGTATATGTTTTTGTATATGTATGTATATATTTGTTTAAGCAACACTAACTAATTTTTGCAATTGGAAAAAACGTTAATCAATTCAATAAGTACACGAGTACAAGTCGGGAGTTTGAGTTCGAGTCACGAGTACACCGCCAACATTTAACGCCACATAGAAAATTGTCTAGCAAAAAATTGTCGTACACAAAATAACACTCTCGAATTTACACAGACAAATTCTCATTTACGAGTATACAAATATATATATATATTCACGATTACGTTTACAATAATTGAAATTTTCCCTTAATTATGCTTGCCCCAACTCCGGGTTTAAAAAAATATTCTACTCTGCTAGCACTGCCCGCGCCTGAAGCCTGAAGCTATTGTTCCTTGCTCTTCCTTTTTTTTTTTTGTCTATTTTTATTTTCTGGTTGGGTTTCCCCTTTCTCCATTCGATTTTCCTTGCTGTGTGCTGTGTGTTGCGTGAAGCCTGTCCTGTCTGTGTGTCCTATGTGCTCTGCTCTGCTCTGGACTGAATAAGTCGGAGCCGCGCGGCGTACTGTACGAGACCGCAACCCTCACTGTCAGCTGCCACCGAGTGTGGCACAGAGCTTGGGCCCCAAACACTCTGTGGCTCCTTGTTGGCTAAATAGGGTTGTCAGGGGTGGCCAAAAATATCAGTTGAAGATAGCACTTGGCTCTTGTTTGGGGATTTTGATTAACTAATTTGGTGGAACAAATTTTAAAATTGTTATTGGATTGAAATGTAATTTTTTAAGACAATTTTCGGAGCATTAATTTCTTCTTCTCAAGATATGTTGTGTTGTTTTGCGCTCAATGTTTCCACTTACATATCTATCTATTTCGGTTTTACCCATTTTATTTATCTCTCACTTCAGAGGCGCTGGCAACTCTGCAGCACAAAAACAGCAAAGGCAGGATTCATTATCCTGGCCAACAAGTTTTTGTGCTCTTCATTTTGCGGCCCACATTCGTGTGAGAGAGGCTCGTTCAAACGAAAAGCGAGGTAAAAGCAGCAAGAGAGAGTACACACCCACGCAAACAGGCCGAGCAAAACAAAACGCCGGAGAGCGAAAGCGAGCAGCAAAGCGCAGACGAGGACAAAGTAAACAGGAAAGCCGAAAAATGAAAATTGAGAGGCAAAAATGTCGGAACAGAACAGAAGCAAAGTCCCGACACTGAGATGGGCCACAATTACAAAAGAGTGCAAAAGCAAATTTGTTGAGTGGCAACCCCAGTGGGGTGGATGGGCTTATGGGTGGATGGTTGGATGGATGGGTGGCCAAAGGCCAAAGGGGTGTGTGCTTTTCCGGCCTTGCGCTTTGGCTTTCACTATTTGTTGTCTGCTGTTGTCGCTGACGCCCCCTCACCTCACCTGTACAGCTTGTACTGTGTGTGTGTGTGTGTGTGCGGTGTGTGTATTTATCCGGCAAACGGCCCACACATCCATCCCGGCGGGCATTACTCTTTACGCTTGACTGCAGTTCCCTATTTATTTTATTACACTTTCACGTGGCTCACATGCACACACACACACACACACACACACACACACACACACAGCCATCCACACACACACAACAAATAGCAGATGAAGCAGCCCACCATATTTGCCTTCTTTTCCGTTTCCTTCAATTAGGAAAACTGCCAGCTGAGTTTTTTTAATGCATTTTAAATGCGATTGAGTCACCAGGCTGAACGAACACACCCCATGCTGAACATTTCGCTTAAAATTGAATCTGGCAACAATCCGGAAATGACATAAGCTCTCGCCCAGTTAACTATTAATTCAATTTCCAAAGGCTTCCCCATCCAGATTGACAGGTCATTAAATGCATTCAATTTCCCAACAGAGCTTCTCCCTGACCTTTTGGGGCATTATTTTCACGTAATTGAATGAATGAAAGTTTTCCTTCACTAGCAGCGGGGGCTCCCGTTCCAGATAATTGAATGGCGTTAATTGGATGCACTTAACCATTAAAATTTATTTATTCATTTAAGAACTTTAAGCTTTATTTAAGAGTTAAATTAGAATATAATTTATTCCCCGTCTGAAGATTCTTTCCCACTTCACTAATAGAATTTAGAACTGCAAGTTTTCGGTCTAACTTTGTTTAGATGATGAATGATTAGTGGATAAATGCCAAATATTAATATGAAAAAAGAAATGGACCTCAGTTTCAGCTGTCGGGCTCCACGCAAGAGTCATAGACCCAGTCATGTCTCTCCGCATTTATGTTATCAGCTCTAGCGCCCTGCAAGAGTTATCGGAATACATTTTGAGCACAATTAAAGATCGATTGGACCTACCCGTGGCATCATTAGGCAGCGCCTGAACCTCATGCATGTCCTTCCATTTGGCCCGTCCATGCCAAACTCATAGAGACATGGCGTGAGCAGAAATCCGCCCCAATTGGACGGCATGGGGATATCCGACTGCTGCTGACCAAACAGCGAGTTCATGCACTCGGCGAACCACTGGAAGACGCCAGATATGCCCGAGGTGGCTGCCTCCGCCGACTGTGGGCCATAGGCGAGACTGAGCTGGATGTGGCGCGGATACTTGTGGAACTGGTACAACGCCTGCTCAGCGCTCAGCTGCCGCGCGAGGCCAGCAATGCGAACGCTGCGCATAAGCGGTGCCCAGTTGAAGTGCAGCGACACGTGCGGATTGCTGCTGATCTCGCCCGCCTGTCGGCTGCCGAGGCTCGTGTAGAAAGTGATCCCATTGGAGTTCACAGCCTCGATTTTGGTCAGCCGCGTCACCGGCTCGCCGGCCTTGTCCACGGTGGCCATGCACGCGAGTCGGGGTCGCAGCTGTGGCACCCGCTGCTGAACAGCCGCCAGCCACTGCTGGAAGATCAGGTAGGGCTCCTCGATCGTCTTGTGCTCCTCGCGAGGCTGTGTGCTGGCCAATCGAAGGCCCGTCGATCGGTTGCCCTGCCGCAGGCGGCACAGCAATGGGCCCGAGGCCAGCGACTCCCACAATTTGGGTAACAAAACTGGGGACATGATTGGAATTTCAACGATGAGTTTTCTAAATGATGTGAATCGAATGGACATTTTGATTTTAAATTTCATATTTTCATATTTCTAATGACAATTCAATTGCTACCTCTAAGCGCTTTGGAAGACATTACGAATGCATTTGGAACTTAGCTATTCAAGTGGTTTTTTTCTCTGCCTAAGGAGCCAATCTCTCGTAGATCCAACCATCCTCTCCGCCATGCACCAGCTTGCCATCAACCTCCGACTGCACGCCATCGCCGCGCCTGAAGCGAATGCGATCGTGCAGGCGATCCGTCTGTCCCTGCCAGAACTCTATGAGATTGGGACGCACCAGATAGCCACCCCAATTGGGCAGTGGCACCTCTCCGTCTGGTCCTAGTTTGGCCTTGATACCGGCCTCCACTTCATCCAGGTAGCCTCTGCAGGGAATGCGCTGACTTTGCGGGCTGGCAGCGGCTCCGATTTGGCTGGCCCTTGGCCGCTCATGGAAGTACTTCAGAGAGTCCTCCTTGGAGATTTTCTCTGCCACTCCCTCGATGCGAACACTGCGCCGGAGGGGCATCCAGTAGAAGGATATGGCCACATTTGGATTGGCCAAAATCTCGTCGGCCTTGCGACTGCCGTAGTTGGTGAAGAAGGTGAATCCCTCGGCGGTGGCCTCCTTGACCAGAACAAAGCGATTGGAGGGCTTTCCCTCGGTATTCACAGTGGCCAAGGCTGCCGCATTGGGCTCGAGGATCTCCGGCGTCTTTAGAGCCAGCTCCAACCAGTCGCGAAAGACGCAAAAGGGATTCTTTATCTTGATATTCTCCTCCAGAAAGGCATCCTTGCGCTCGTGGTACTTCAGGCGCAAAGCTTATGTTGGGGAATTCACAATATTTATGATTATTCTCAGTTCCTAGCTTCAATTGCATTGAAAACTCACCTGAAAGCTGCACATCTGGCTGTCCCTGGCTCATTCTTCGCACTGTTCGCAGCAGTCGCACTGTTTTTTATGGGGTTTTGGGTTTTAGTTAGTTGTTGCGTTTACGACCACACGGCCACGTACTTGCTAGAAGGTGAGATCTCACGATAAGTGCTTGCTAAAACGTTATCTGGCTTGTTTATTCAATCCAAAAATGTAGATTGGATGTTTCAATTGCAATTCACAGCTGATTGTTAGGCAGAGTTGCCACTTCGCTGGAAAAAGTTAACATTTGTTAGTTCACAATTTCCCAACAGGGCTGCCAACTTGTTTGATTTGCAGCGCAACTGCTGCTTTTGTGACGTCACAAGTGTCAGGTGTAAAATAACAAATTGGCGAAGAAGAAGAAAGAGCGCGCGCGTGCTTCCTCGAACTGGACGCAAGATCTCCTGTGTCTGTGTCTCCAAGTGTCACTGGCCGTATGTACCCCATAAAAAACAGTGCAACTGCTGCGAACAGTGCGAAGAATGAGCCAGGGACAGCCAGATGTGCAGCTTTCAGGTGAGTTTTCATCCTTATACGCTGGGCCGCAACGAATGGAGCGTCATCTTGTGCTCCTCGTCCAGGTCGTACTTGGATGCGGCGTCCTGTTGCTAAATGTGGTCGGCCTCACCACTGAATCTGAATCTCCACTGCTCGACGTCACATCGAAGTCGTCGTCGCTACTTACATTCTTGAATACGGTGACTGGCACTGAAGCGTAATCATGGTCATGGTCAACATGGTTGTCACCTGTGGCGGCGGGCTGGTCAAGATTTGGAGTTGCGTCCACACACACACACACACACACACACACACTATATGCTCAAAATGGGATGCTCCGGCTGTTGCTACAGGCAAGGCATTTACTGGTACTATATCGTTACTAACTAAGTTAACGTTACGTAGTTACTGCACGGTACGTAGTTAGTTTAGGCAATTAAGCGAGTTTAAGCCGATTTGGCGCGCGTCCGCAGAAATTAATAATGTAATAATATTAGACGAGTATCATCTATCCCATATGGTATTTATATATCCCACAGCTTGGCTGATTATAATTAATATACATATGTATTTATGTTTGCAGACTTTTCTACCCGTACCGAAATGGAAGGTACTTGTAATAGCTGCATTCAACTTTCAGGGCACTATGTTCCATTATTAATACATTCGTGCGGTAAGTTGTCTCTGGTCTGCTCTGGTAATACATCCAATAGTCATATATTTTCGTCCTTTTGACAGGTACCAGTTACAAAGGAGTCCAGCGTAGGTTCGAGGAAAATCAACTCGGCTCTACACCTTGTAGTAAAACAAATAATAAATAGGGATATTCAAACAACCTCGTGGCAATGGTGTCTGATCACCGTCCTGCCATGTTGACTGGCATGTCCGAAGCCTACAAAGCGTTCCCGGTTCTACGGGACAAAGAGCATTTCAAGGGGACTCACGAAACACATGCTCACGGATGTTACGGACTATTTGCATGGAAAGTATACACAAGACGACTGGAAGAGTAAGTTGGAAAATGCGCCAAAGTTGGACGACTCAGCGTCTGAGAAGCTATAAAAACTTTACGAAAGTGAGCTTCGAAATTGGAATATTATTATGGAGCGCCATTTCGCCATTTCATCGGATCCCTTAAAACTCTATGCAGTGCACAGCAGGAGATTGGTGCATCTGGGCAAGGCCCTGATCTCAAAAGTGTACGAAATTATGATGTACGCGATAAACTTGCACCCACATGCACCCATATTATACAGTCCGTGTGGTTGGGCTTATGCTTATGCTAACCACCCCAAAAACATTTAGCAATAACGCGTAACAAACACAAAAAATGGTAAAAGTTTATTTTAATAAATTCCATTTATTTTAAACGAAAACAGCTTAAAATAAATGCCTGCTGCGCAACTGCAGCTTTTGTGACGTCAGGCCCAGAACCACCCTCTCAGTGTGTGTCCTTTTGGCAGGGGTTGTTGCCACTATTTGGGGCTTGGAGTCCTGCGACGATGATGCCATACAGATAGAGCAAATCCAACACGAACTGCTGCTGGACGTGTGCCGTGTGCGAATCGAGTGCGGAGCGCAAGCGAGAAATTATAGAGAAAGGCCAGACGACAGACAGGCAAAGCGGGGGCAAGGAGCATTCTAATTCCGTGAAGAAAAATTTAATATTAACAAAGATATTTATAGAAATATCGCCATAAGACGAAATCAGTGCCGTTTCAAGTGTTTTCTTGTGGCTGTGAAAAAAAGTTCTAGGACCTCAAAGGCAGTCGCAAAGTAGGTTAAAGCGGTGCGAGGGACGGCAAAAGTCAGATTCAGAAAGCAAAGGAAATTTTTGTTGGCTTTCCTTTTAGCCACATTTTGGAGGTCGGTGTCGGTCGGTTGGTCGGGTTTGCTGGTTTTTGTGGCTGGAGCTGCATGTGTGTATGCCGCAGGGGCAAGAGAAACTGCAAATGCAGTGCGCGTGCAACAAAAACAACAACAACAAAGGCGACGACAACAAAAACGAAATGCAAATGGCTTGATATCAAATAGCAAATGAACTTCGTATTTCTAAACATTTCAATTGATATTCTCTAACCAAAAATCCAACAACAAACAACAACAACAACAAAAGTGATATTTTCTACGACTGTGGCTTGATTTTTGCACAGTATAAAACAACACACACACACACACACAATACACACACACAGAGTGACACAGGGGGGAAAACAGACACAGACACGCCACACACCACACGACACACGACAACTATATAGCAATATATGCCAATTGAGTGCCTTATATCATTTGATAATAATCCACAAGGTGTCTACTATGCCGGACAGGAGCTATCTGGCGTTGTTGATCTCAGCGTCGATGCCACCAAGCGAATCAAAGGTGAGCCAGAACAAAAGGGGGAGGGTATGACGATGCGGCTGGGGGGTTGTACTTTGGCTTGATGCAAGTGCATCCATACATGCCTTACTAATATTAATTTTAAATATTAATTTAATTTCCTTAAATACCATAACATTCGCTCTGACACCTCATGACTCACGGGGCGTATGCGTGATGCGGAAAAGCACTTAACATTTTAGTTGCATTTAAATGCACGAAGGACACGAACTAATGCCATTATTAAAATGTATCTGGGGAGCCCTCAGCGACGCCATTTTGTATGTGCCATGCAATTAATCGTGGTTCCTGCCGGAACGTGGGGAGGGGTGGTTTACGGCTACCCCTCTACTGTTAGGCCCCTGTTTAGTCGGAGTCTTGTGGTACTTTTCAGTTCGTTTATGTGCTGTGTGTTTTCTTTTTGGCATTCCGCCATTTTTATTTATCCATGAACTCGTTAAAGGCGTGGCTGGTGTGTCTACGGCGATGACTACTCATGACGATGACGACGACGACAATGATGATGTTGTTTGCCGAATTGCAATTTAATTTGGAGGCAAACTTAGTCATAGTTTTTGGGCACTGTTTTTGACCTGCTTTTTCGTTCATGTCTCCCTCTTCTATAGGCATCCACGTCACTGTCAGCGGCTATGCCAAGATACGCTGGATAAAAAAGGGATATCCGCGCGATAGCGAGCGCGCCATGTGCCGTGCCTATCGATCGTATCTGTCATCGAGATCGTATGTGCTGGGATCGTGCGCGAGCAACTCGTTTATCGACTGGCCCGCCGGCGAATACTCGTACACATTCCATGTCATCCTGCCCGACAATCTGCCCACATCGTTCGATGGCAAATATGGACAGATACACTACGAGATCATAACGACGATCGAGCGGGCCGGCCGATATCCAAAGGTCTTCAAGCTGCCATTTACCGTGATACAACCATTAGACCTGAATGCCGATGCTATATACAGAGTGAGTACACAGTATATTCTCCTCTGAAACGAAAGTTATTTAATTAACTGCGACTGTGTTTTGTAGGTGCCCTTGGAGATACTCGATCGTAAGCGTTTCTGGAGCTTTTGCTGCCCCACGGGACCGCTGACTGTGAAGTTCTCCACACCCTACTGCGGCTATGCACCCGGCCAGAAGATCCACTTTGTGCTATACATCAACAACGAGTCCTCCATCGACATCACCGAGTGTGAGGTGAAGCTGAAACAGGAAGTCAGCTACGAGTCGCACGATCCCCATCACGAGTATCGCTACGACAAGCATCTGATAGCACAAAAACAGTTTGGCAATGTCCTGCGCTGGTCGAGAAAGGTGTATAGGGGATTTTTGGATCTGCCATCGATACCGCCGACATCGGTGAAGCCCACATGCCCCATTAGTGTTAACTATTCGATTAAGATCATTGTCAATCCAACGGAATTCCACTGGAAGCTGAAGCTAAAGATTCCACTGACCATTGGCAGCATACCGATTATGGATGGACCGGAGGCCCTGCTGCGCTTCAATCGACAGCAGCAACAGCACCAAGTAGTTAGTCAAAATTTACAAATGTCAACGCAACAAAGGCCGCGACACAGAGATCGTGATCGTGATAGGGATCGTGATCGTGATCGGGATAGGGATCCGAATCAGAGGACACCAACCGCACAGCAGAGAACACATTTGAGTAGCATTACAATTAATAACAACAATCATGGACGTCTAGTGGGTGGAGGACTACTGCCGACCAATAGCAATATGAATATGATAGTGAATGCCAGTCCAACGCCCACTAGCTCCACGCCCTCATCAACGCCAACAACTGCCGCCCTTAGGCCTCAAATGGCCTCCATGCTGCCAGCGATATTGGTGACCAGCGACAGCGATAATCCTCCCGATTATATACCAATGAGTAAGTATGCTTGAAGCTGCCTTTAAATTCCATTTCTAATGGGATATGTTTTTCCATTTTGTAGTGCCTCCCTCGTATGAAGATGCCATGGCTCTGAGTGAGAAATTCAGCGATGATACTGAGTTCTTAACAAACGTTAGCATGAGCAGCATTATGTCCGCTCAGGCTGATGTTACCACAAGTGAGCCCTTTAAGCCGCGTTATCCGGTCTATTACGAATATGAGACACCGACCATACCGCCCGGTAGTGATGATTCCAATGAATCCGACACATAAAACATCCCCTCCAAAACATAAAAACAAAAATTAAAATTGTTTAACAAAAACTGCAAAAGAACCAACACAAAAAAAAATGCTAAAAAAAAAAAATTGAATGAATGGCTGAGTGGCATTTTCTACAGCAAAATTCTTATTTTATTCCATTACTTAAATGTAGTTAGAAAATTGTTCTTTAATCTTTTGTATTCTGTTTAAGTATTGAGAGAGAGAGAAAGATCCATATACGATGATCCGTAATCGTTGTCTGTTTGAGCATAATTCCAACTGTCTGTATTTGTCTGTAATTCCTTAAAATATTTACAGATCTCTTCAAGATCTTCTTTTGTCTGCCTCTGACTTGCTGCATTTTTTGTAGACCTTCAGAGTGCTCTTCCGAGACCTTCTACCATCTGTCCCGTTCCGTCCCGTCCAATATCTTACTCTTTTGAAATCTCTTTACTTAACAGAATATTACTTACTCAAATATCATATTCAATATTTATTCGTATTCTTATTATAAATGAAATTCTGTAATACATTTAATTGCACGTTTTATCATATTTATAATTAAATATATAAATTGTCCAAGTGTTTATTCCATTAAATTAACAACAAATTATTGTGCGTTTGCTCCAAATAATTCCATTATTTCCGTTACATATATTTCGATGACAAATACATATACTATATAAAAGTTTTTAATTTAGAAATTAATATTTTCAATTGACAATTGATATCAGAAATATATATACACATATATTTATAAACAACCAAATATCATTATATTGAAATCAATGCTTTCTTTGAGCATTGTTTAAACCTTAAGCTGAATATATAATAACCGATTTATGATATAAGAACTGCAACATACATATACATATATATCTTTTTACTCAACTTCCATCTTTACTTACTATGCATTTTTCTTATAATTAAATGTAAGCCAACTGCAAGGGTTTTTCAAAAATGTGCTTAACTTGTAAATTTGTTCTCTTGTTACCGCTCCCCACAACATGCTACATGCCACACATTTTTGTGTACCGTCCATAACCGACCACGACCACACCCTCAACGACACCTGAACATCTCCTTCTGAACTCTGCTGATATATGATACTCATACTGATCCTGCTACAGAGACGCTTTACGATGAGGCCAATGCCCAGCTGCGCCTCGCCCTGAACCCGGATTCGGCAACGGAGATGGCGACAGCAGCAATGATGGATGAGGAGGTGACCACCAGCACACCGGCCGGAGGAGAGCCATGCTTTAGCTATGAAAAGAAATGAATACCCCAAAAAAGGAAACACCAAACAACAATTACATATTTACTCGTAATCAAAATATTATAAAAGAAACTAAAAAAGGAGATTGGAAATCGGAGATAGAAAATCGAACATTTTTATAGAATCAAAAACAACTAGAAGATATGCGAGTAGTATACGAGAATATATTTTACAGCAGGGTAGAAACTATATAGAGTAAACCGATTTGAATATGATTTTTATTTTCTATCGTATAAATTTTAACTTTGCTTTCTAACCTTCACTTTAAACTATGCTAAAATTGCACTTACGACTAAATTCTTGTCTTTATTTTCTTTCTTGTCTAAACATCTTTCCCTTATAAAGAATGGCGTTTCTCATGCATTTCTTTTAAACAAATTAAATTAAAAAGTTGACAAAAATTTATACAAAAATACACAAACACAGTGAGCACTGTGAGCCACAAATATATACGAAAGGAAAACAACGTAGTGAAATCATAGCAGAAAAACACTCTTTCTAGGCCTAAGCAAAACGATAAAACAGAACCCAAAAACAAATCTGCACAATTTTAACCGAAGAATTAACAACAATTAATATACAAAATTAGCATTTTCCAAATATTCAATGTATAGAATATTAAAAAAAAAAAACAAAACAAAAATATATATGAGAAATTTACACAAAATTTAGCCAAATTCTTCTACGTTTATTTATGATTTCTCATGATGAAATTTTTAGTTGTAGCATCATCATCATAACCTTTTAGGTGTCTAAACATAAATATTAAACACATTAATTAGAATATTTATATATATGTGAAGAAAGTGAAGTGTCTTTTGCTCTACCTTTATATTTCGATGTATACTTTGTACTTTCTTTGATTTTAAAATGTCCAGTCTAACCAAAAATCATATAAGTATATGCCTAAGTCCTATCTGTCTTCAATTAAGTTAAATCCAAAGTCAATAAAGCAACATACATATATGTATATGAACTATACCCTAAAACAGAGAGAAAGAGTTTGATTAGAGTTCGTTGTATTCTCCTTCACATTTTTGGGGGGCATACATTCATCTGTTCCGCCAGAAACAGAAATCTCAAACCCTAAGCCAAGTCATAAACGTAATTTATCTTTATTTCCAGTCCAGCCAGAACAGACGTCGACCCACAAAATCACAAAAAGTAACAACAAAATCTGTTGTGCGCGTAAGTACAATTGGCTGTGGCGCGTGTGGATAGAACAGTTGGAACAGGAACATTTTTCAGAGCTCCATCAGAGGCCCCAAACTAGTCGCAGTCACTTGTCAGCCGCCTGTCGACACGGCCGCACTTCGAGTCGCCTCCATGGTCGGGGCAGTCTCGTCTCAATCGCGTGTAGTGCAAATTACACAAAATTCTGTTTGTTAATGATATGAAATTTTCCAAACGAATGGCCAGTGAAAATGCCAATAAAATGTGAATTTAATTTATCGCGTGCCGCTGCCGTGTACTGCACGGGTGAACAAATTTTGGGTACCCTCTCCATTGGAGTGGACCGCAAGAAGGCTGTTCCCGTGGAGGGTAAGTGGCAGCTGCCATTAGGCAAATTAGTTTTATATCTTTGGAGATTTTCTCCGTTCGTGAGCGATTAGATAAGCGGACACATCGGTCATACTGATCTCATATACCTTTCACAGGTATCAGCATTACACTCAGTGGCATCAGCCATGTACACTGGCAGGAGTCCCTGGCTGGGCCACCACAAATTGAACATAATGACAGCTCCAGGAGCTGCGTGGAGCCTACGAAAGTGGATTACAAAGGCGACAAAGTTCACATAAATCAAGTGAAGAAGTTGACTGCTGGACAACGCCTACTTCCGGGCATTACTCAAGTGTGGAACTTTGAATTTGTCCTGCCCGACAGTCTGCCAGCCACTTGTCGAGTGGGTAATGGCTCTGTCGAGTATGCCCTTAAAGTGATTATCGAACGAAGGAGCAAGCATTACAAGTGCTTCACGCAACGTTTGGTCATCAGAAGAAGCCTTGCATTTACAGATCTCCAGCCGCAAATGAAGGAGCATTCATTGCTGAGACTTTCACTACCAAGAAGTGTCTTTGTGCCAGGTCAAAGTGTTGGCTACGCAGTGGCATCGAAGGAGGGATCTGCTGCCATCACACGCCTATGCCAGTGCATCAATTATGAGTGTCAGAAACCTGAAAGAAAGATAAAGAAAGTGATACGTATCCTATCGGAGTGCTCTGAACTCCAAGCCGAACTTCGGCTGCCTTTGACCTCTCCCATTATGACTGATGAAAGGCAGCCACAGCCCATAGAAATCAGCTATTATGTAGAGACTGTAAGTCACATGAAACCACCTCTAAGGCTGGCAATTTGTGTGGGAACTTCAGCACCACCTGCCATTTGTAGCCTCGAATCTTCGCGTCTTTGTTTTGTGAATTTGGGTGAGTATGGGCCCATACGAGTACTGTTTTGATATAATGATCTCATTACACCTGGTCTACTTTTAGCTTTGAGTCAGAGTGAATTGTTTGAGCCAATTAATCAGCTACTGGCCCACAGCTGCCATTCCCAGGAAACTGGCGCCCTGGCACTGGGTAAACACTGTGAACGGATTAAATTACTGAAGTGCCAGAAGAAACAGTCGTATGTGCAATTGCTAATGCGGTATTTCTATAAAAGATTGCTGCCTTAGCACGTGCCTGTCACAGGGGAACATCAATAATAATATTATTATTAAATGTGGGTATGCCTTGGAATTTCCATGTTTATAATGATATACGTTTAAAAATGAATGGAATTTAAATTGAACCCAACCCAAGTGAGGGATTAAAACTAAACAAGTGGCACCGAGAGTGGAGTTTCCCATTTACCTCAGAATCTCATTCTATCATGCTGTAACCAATCTCATTGTCACCCCATTAAGAGTCTATAAAAGTAGCCAAAATCTCAAACTCTCCTACGTATCTCATCTTTCATCCATTGTCTGCCTATTCAACCCTTAAGCCAATCTTCACTTCATTATGCATGCAAAATTAATGGAGCAAACCCACCCAAAAAGATGTCGAGGTCTTAATTATGCCCCATAATGTGGCAGCAAAATGTGCGAACGGGTTGAGGGCCAACACCCAAACATTCGCCCAATAAAGTGCTTGACTGTGACGCACTTTGATTGCTTTTGTGTTTGGTCAAGAATTGATGTATGGTAATGCTCCTCGTACTCGTACTCGTACTCGAACTCGTATGTAGCTCCTGACCTCGCCAGCATCCGCCCCGTTGCGTTTTTGGCCATGTTTTCGTTTTGTGGCTCAACAAAGGAAACTGAAAGGAGAGACAGAGAGAGCGACAGAGACAGAGACAGAGAGAGAGAGTGTGAGAGCGAGTGGGAGAGTCAATGGCGTCTGCTCCATTTCCGAGCGATTCGCGTTGAAATATTAGACCAGAAGCAGACTGTAGACAGTAGGCAGTAGACACAGGCTGCACAGACGCAAGGCGCCAACTTATTGATTCGTTTCGCTGTGTCCCCGCCGCCAGTACGCCAATACTGTCCCCAAACCCCCGAAAAATAAAAGAGAAAGCCTGAAAGACGATGGCGGCGGCAGTGGCGGCAGTGGCGGATGCTGTACGCCAACACAAAGAGGTCCGTGCCGTGCCGTAGTGAGAGCGAGAGCTCAGTGCGCGTCTGGCTGTGTGGAAGTTGGGTTCGAGCTGCTGTGCGGTTTTCTCTTTTGTTGATTTCCTTTCGAATGCAGTGGAAGTGAAAAGAATTCGGAAGCTGCAGCACCATGCCCACCACCTGTGTTTTTCAGCTGGATCGCCTGAATCCCATCTACAACAGCGGCGAGTACATAAGCGGACGCATTCTGCTACGCACGGATAAGGTGAAGCGCGTCAATGGTGAGCCGTAAAGCAATACTAACCAATAAAGGCATTACAATTCCTACAAAATTTCTGTTGCCAGCGGTCTATGTGACACTGGAGGGCGAGGCCAAGGTTCAGTGGACAATGAGCGGGAAGAGTGAGACGGCCAACTATTCGGGCCATCAGCAGTACCTGCACTCCCGCACCAATGTCTTCGACAATACACTGTTCCGTGCTGGCGTCCATGTCTATGTCCTGACACTGCGCATCCCACCCGATTGTCCGAGCACCTGCAAGGGTCCCTACGGCTACATTGCCTACACCATCTCCCTGACCATCGACAAGCCCTGGGGATTCGATGAGATCTTTCGCAAGCCCATCACAGTGGTGCAGACATTGGATCTTAACTTCAATTCCGAGTTTGCGGTGGGTTCAGTGAACTCCAGAGAGACGTTTCTATTACATCTAAGACTCTCCATTTATCTGCAGCTGCCCGTCAAGGATGAGAACATTAAATATCTGTGCCATTGGCCGTGCGTTTCGGGTCCGATTTGCTCCTCTCTGGCATTGCCTGCCTCTGGGTTTACGCCGCTGCAGGAAGTGCCCTTCCGCCTGGAGGTGGACAATCAATCGCCGCACTACGACATCATTGGCGTGGAGGTATCCATCAGGCAGCATTTTGTCTTCCTCTCACGCAAACCCGTGAAGCGAAATTTCTATACCAAAACGCTGACCAAGGAACTGATCACGGATCGCACGCTGCGGCTGTCCAAGCGGCAGTATGAGTCCAGCATCTGTGTGCCCATGGACACGCCCCGTTCCACGCTGAATACCAATTACATTGTCTTTATCCACTACACGCTGCAGGTGAAGCTAAAGACGGGCTGCTTCCATTACGACACAGATCTGTCGGTGCCCATTGTTGTGGGCACCACACCGCTGCATCATTTCCGGAACACTGTCCACACCACACAGCCGACGGCGAGGACAACGACCCCAGAGCGGCAGCGACTGATAGAGCGAGTGTCACCCCGTCCGCCAGTGGTGGCCGAGCAGGAGGAGGAGGAGGAGACCAGCCTGGAGGCGGCCACGGATGATCCGCATCAGAGCATAGACGATGATGAGCCGCCCTCGTACGACAGTTGCCGTGAGTGTCAAGCAATCAAGCAAGAGAAAGGTGTTTGGGATCCGATTTTCATTTTGAGTATCTTTGCAGTTCCACCTTCCTTCAGCTTTGCTACTCTGGCAGGCAGTCAACAGACCTTGGAGAGCCACGGCGGTCAGCATGTGATCCTCCATAAAATTCATATGCCCAAATTTCCAGGCTTCAGCACCTTCATTGGCAGGGCCCCGACCCAGGGCATGGAGGATTCCGGTCTGGATATGCAGCTGTATCGTTCGTACGGCTCATTGAACACCGATCAAACGGGTCGCAGTCTGGACACCTTTGGCTCACTGTGTGGTCCGCTGTCCGAGCAAGTAGAGCTAGAGGCTGAGCATGAGCAGGCGAATGAAGTGCAGCTGGCGGTGCAGGTGCAGGTGGAGCCAGCACAAGTGCATCATCCACGTGCACGCGTGCGCCAGAGTACAGAGGACATACAGGATGAGCATCTATTTTAGGAATAAATCAAAGTGTCTTCAATCGATAGCGATATACGTATTAACATCCTAAGTAACAGTAACATAAGTGTTCAGACCAAAAGGCTTAAACCATACTATATATATATATACATATATGTATATATATATATATTAAGGGTGGATCCCAGTCCGTCGTACTAGAATTAGAGCGCAAAACGAACTTAATTGAAGTGCCAAAAACATTAATTTTTCTAGCATATAGTTAGCATATTTTTCTCATTGCTCTTTTTAAATTTAAATATACATATATACGATTTATTACACAATAATTATACTAAGTACAGACTAAAAGGTGTTCATCAGTGGACAATAAATAAAGATATATGTACTCGTATACGAGAAAACAATTTGTTAATTGGATCGTCCTTGAGTCGTCAGAGGAGGTGCGCCTCCAGCCCCATATGTATGCTACACCAGACACTCGATGTAGTGCATTTTAATTAAATTATAATTTGCTCGCCAAAAGCGAGAGCGGACTGGCAGTGGCGTCGCCCCGTTGCCAGATTAGATAGAGGCGATAATAACCATGGTATCGCTGGTAGCATTCACACCTATAGTATAACCGATAAGGCCGGAATAGTTTGCCTGTTTTAATGGGCGAACATATTGTCGACAAGTGGCAGACATCAGCGAGCAGTCGTCGAGTCAGGAGACAGTCAGAATGAACCACCGCTGTGACATGCAATTGGACAGCCCCAGTGGGGTCTATCGGGCCGGGGAGACGGTTAATGGTCACATCTATCTAACCCTAACGGAGCGTGCCCTAATAAAAGGTAAGAGAGTGTGACTCATGGGGGTATACTCCGGTGATAACTACCCTCAAGTGCGTGGTGAATCACCGTGCATCAAGATCAAGTTCCATTTATGGTATGGCTGGTATGGCTGCTAGGATAAGGGGCACTGGGGCCGAGTGAAAGTGGCTTTATTTATTGATTGCCAAGGTTGATAACCTTATCAATATTTACTGCTAAGTGTTCCGAAGTGTTCAAAGTTGTTTGATTATTTTTGCAGCCATTTCCCTGGAGGCAAATGGATTTGCAGCCACCGAATGGCAGCAGCCCCAAAAGGCAGCGAAACCCAAGAAATCCGAACAGCAAAATCTTCAAGTGGAAAAGCAGTCGCTGGCCTTTGAGCAGCGTGTGGATTACTTTGCCAAAATCGATTACTTTGTGGGATCGGAGGCGGCACAGCCACAGCTCATGGATGCCGGCACCTACAGCTATGGTTTCCATGTGAAGTTGCCCAAGAGCTGCCCCAGCAGCTATGAGGGCGTCCATGGACACATTCGTTACACTTTGCAGCTGCTGATGCACAGCAGTGCGGTGCAACCCATCGATGTGATTCACACACGCCAGCTGCAGGTGTACGCCGAGAGCGAACTGTGCAAGGAGTCGCGCAGTGGCGAGGTGCAGTGCCTGGAGCAGACGCCACGGACGAAGTTCTGGCAGCGACCCCTGCAGCTGCAACTGCAGATTCCCCGCCAGGCCTACTCGCCCGGGGCGGGCATTTCAGTGCATGTGAAGCTGCACAATCCGCAAAAGCTGCCGCTCAGGGAGGTGGTCTACAAGCTGAACATGGTCAGCAGCTATGTGGGGCTGCAGCGGAACAAACCAAAGCGTCGGGACATCAAAGTGGAGAGGCAATCTCTGCTGAGCAGCGGCCACGAGCTGGCCAGCCTGCCCCGCAGCGAACTGGAGCACTTCCAGCATCTTCATATGCTCCAAGTGCCCCAGACGCCGGCCACACTATCCTCGGCGGCCTGCGCCTGCCTACAGATCAACTACGAGGTGGAGGTGCTGGTACGCACGCAGCAGGAGAAGCGCTCCATCATGGCACAAGTTCCCATTACCATTGGCAATGTGACGCCACCCTGTCCGAATGCCATCCGTTCAAGGGATCTCCTGGCAGCCTCAGCCTCAGCCCCGGAACAGACGCCCACGCCGGGCACAGCCACGAAATTGGCACCCGACTTTAGCGCTTCCATGACCTCATTGGGTATGTTGTCTCCTCTTGATTTTGATTGATTTCGGCCTCAAGTTAATGCTCACCCTACCCCACCCTTTTCTTAGCCTCCAATTTTCGCGAGGCCGAATTTATGACGGCCACCAATTTGAACAAAAGCAACAAGCATGCTCTGTCCGGGGAGCAGCTGGACTTTAAGCCACGTTATGTCTACTATGAACCTGACCAGAACCAGACAAAGAAAGAGCTAGCAGCTCATTGAGTGGAGCAGTGCATTGACATCACATATTATTTATTTTAACCTAAGGAAATTCATTTAAAATTGGTCAGAAAGGTGTGCTTCATTTACAATTAAAATTTGTAGCTATCACTGAGATTTATAAAAAACATTTAAATGTCCAACAAAATATATCGAAACAATATTAAATGCATTGCTTGTGTTGCATTAAGTGGGAGTAGGTATATCCTTAATTATCATTGATCAGAGGGCACAAAAATGTTTCTTAAATGCATTTAAAATCATTATAAAAAAAATAATTACAAGCATTCAAGCAAGCATTTTGTTGCATACTTAAGGGCGCCTTAAAAGTGAGATACAAATGCTAAGAAAATCTTTTCAAAGCTTATGATTTAGTACCAAGTCTGACTGAGGTAGACTCCGCTCCTATATATTGGCATTCCAACCATATGAGGTTCGACTCTCTGCAGCTACATTCGAGTTCTCTGCAGTCGGTGCGGCAGTGGCGCCATGTGGCAGCGACAGAATTGGTACAGCAGAGGGTTGTGGTGGCAGCAGCGGGGAGTCGCTCGCCTCTGGCGGTGCCGTGGGCTGAGCAAAGTTCGTGTACATGGGATAGCGGGGTATGAAGTCATTCGTAGGATGGCGCTCGTCCACGTCCGTGTCGATGAACCTGTCGCCCAGGTTCGTGGCCTCCTCAAAGGTGGGCGGCTCTATAAATAAAATGAAAACAGCTACAGAAATAACAGACAAACGAAAGAGTCAATCGGCACTTACTGCAATTGTCATAGCTGGGCGGCATATCCCCACCCGTCGCTCCCGCTGGTGTGTCGGGCGTCTGGGGTATCCATTCGGCCACATGCGTGGGATCTTCAGCGCTCTGGGCCAGCGGTATAGTGCCAATCACAAGGGGTATATCGAACTCCGAGTCCATGTGGCAGTCGCCCATTTTGATCGAGAAGAGTACCCTGTAGCTGATGGCTATGATGGAGTCGGTCCGTGTGGTGGGCGGCACTGACGGAATGAGCAGAGTGCCATTGATGATGCGCTTGGAGAAGCGTAGCACTCGCTCGCCCTGGCAGCTGCCATGCAGTGCCTTCTCGATATCGCGGGTCTTGTGCAGCGGAGTTTGGGCCTTGAACTGGCTGACTTGTTTCAGCTGCAGCTCAATGCCGTCCAGGTCATAGCCACCCGACTTGTTGTCTATCTCCAGGCTATAGTGTATCTTCTGGCCCGGCGCATAGCCACCAAAGGGTATGGTGAGGGTGGACAGAACCGGACCGGAGCTGCAGGGCCAACAGCAGAAATACTTAACGTCCTCACGCACCAGGGGAATCTATAGAGAGAGCGGCAGTGGATCAGGATTCTATATATGCATAACCCATACTCACCAATAACTCTGGGGACATATTTAGATTGTAGGTTTGGATGACCGTCAGCGGCTGCGTGTAGTCCTTATTGAAGCCCCACTGCTTATCGATGACCAACGAGATCTCATAGTGGATCTTGCCATATTTCATGTCGCACGAAGTGGGGCAATCCAGCGGCAGGGGTATGCTGCAGGTGTACTGGTGGTCGCCACACAGCAGATTCCCCGACCCAAACACTTGGGTGCGTGTGTCCAGATACGTTTGCTTGCCCCGATAGTTTTCAGTGTAGTTCTGCCGCGTTCCATTGATGGTCTTCGTCTTGTGTTCGCTCCAACTCACTTTTGCCTCGCCACGAAAGAGTATGTAGACCTCTGCGAGGGATAAAAATAAACAACAATTATACAGGGCACACTCGATAAAGGAAAAAAAAACTAATATGAGGGTTTCAATGGGTTTTACCCAATGTTAAGAGCAAGAAGTACACTTAATCATGTTTTATTTTGTACTCTCGGGGCAGCACTGTACAGTGTACACTCTCACTTTTATTGACTAATTTCTCTTTGTGTTCACATTCCGCCGGCTGGCGTTCTGTTCGATTTGTTTTGTTTCATACAGTGGGATGAATGTCAATATAACTCGAACACAAGCCAATGAACGCACACAGCAATCGTCGGAGCTTTCATTCATCCCACTGTACTTTGGCACGTTTCGACTTGTTGCTTTTTCTGCAATTCAAAACAATAATTATCTTAATGTGTACATACATTCATATGTATGTACATATATACTAAGCTTTTTGTTGGCAATAGAAAATGTGACAGTCTTCTCTTAATGTGTAATAGGGTACGGCCTAGGGCCTAGGCTCATAAACAGCTATCAAACTAGATGGTACTCCCCCTATAAATAAAAAGTTTAATATTTTTATGGCATCTTGCAATTGTTTTTCACTTGTCAACATTCTTTTAAACCGGTTTTAGCTACACAGAAACAATACTTATCACCATAGCAAAATGCTACATAGAACACTTAATTAATACACAAACAAACTATATATATAAACTGCAGTCTTACCATTCACCGACTTGTTGGAATCTGTATGAAGATTAATGCGTGCATTGATTACCTCGCCGCTATAGTAAATAGGATCACGGTGATCCAATTCAAATTTACACACAGTTGGCATTTTGCCCTCTAAACTAAACTCTCAATATTCCAATGCCGTGACGGAAAGCAATTTAAAATTGTATTATTAAAGGCACATGTTTAGATTATATTTTTATTCCATATACAGGCGGAAAGTCAGACCAAACAACCGACGCGAACGAAACGAAAATGAAATGCAAAAGAGATATCGGAGCTGCGGGCAAAATATGTTTCAGAACGAATCTCCGAGAGAGCGGTAAAGCTTGCGTGACATCATCAGTTGGGCAGAGAGAGGGAGAGAGAGCGAAAGTTGTTGTCGGCTGGCTGGAGCTTTGGGGCGTGCGCTCTCCCCAAGATACGTCACATTGTGTGGGCCCTTTTTTTTTGTTATTCCCACTGATATTCGTGGCTTTTGTTACGAATTACGAGGTCAAGACATAAACAAACAAAAAAAATCACATAAAATTAAATGATATTTTAAGCTCCAAAAAGCTTCGATATCAGAAACAGCTGCGCGGATACTGTATGTGGATTCCACTTGCGTTGCTCCGGAATTTAATTATAAAACTTGAATATAGATTAGAACAAAAATATTACAGCAATCCGCGCGATATGGGGAGCTTGTATATTCTCTGTATTAATCAAAGGTCAAAGTGAAATAATTTTGATATAATACAAATGTTTGTTCAACGCTTCGATAAGCTTTAAATTTGTTGCTGCGCGTCTGAAGACAGCATTATTTTATCGCAGAGTCGTGGCAGACACTTTTATTCCCTTGTTTGTTTATTTAACGGGGGTATCTCTTGTATATATTGTAGGTATATATATATATATGTAGTATATATGTTAACAGTTTGGTTAGTTCTTGGGTCTTGGGACACCGAAATACGAAGCAAAATACTGCAGAGATAAGATATCGTTGTGATTTGCCGCGATAAGCGTCGAGCCGCCCCCGTTAAATCTGCACGGGAGACTCGACTGGTTGCTTCTCCAGCTGTTGCTTCTCCGGATTTGTTTGCTGCTGGCCCGGTTCGGCGGGCTTTCGGCGACGACGACGTCGCTTCTTCTGTGGCGGATTCGGTGCTGGTGTCTGGAAGGTATCCACATCGAAGACGGGATAACGTGGCGTAAACTGGGAGGCCTCGCTGACGGTATTGGCATCCGTGTCGGCTATGTCGGTGGACATGAAAATGGCCTGTTCATAGGTGGGAGGGGCTAAAGAAACATACAAAATTAATGGAAATACTTTGGGATTTATTCGGTGGGACCTACGTAAATCGGCGACAAATTCATCGGCTGTTTCCAGCTCATCATCGCCATCCTCTGGCAGCTCGAAATCTTCCAGCGATTCGCTGCGCTCGTAGCCAGAATTATTCACACCTCCCACTCCCAGCCCCATTTGTGCCAGTTCCATGGCTCGGGTGGAAGTGCAGGGCAAATCCGATGGCAGTGGAGTCTGCGGGAACGAAGGACCCGCTGTGGTTAGGGGCACATTGCCAATGGTAATGGGTATGACGACCCTCGGGTTGGACATCAGCCAATTCATGACGGCCACCACACGCACCTCATAGGACACACGCACCACCTTGCTGAGGTGCTCACAGGTGGGCGCCGTGGCCGGTATGCGCAGCGTCTCCGTGTAGATCTTCTGGGCATGATGGGCCACGGGTCCACACTCGCGCTTCACCAACATAATCTTCTCGGAGGTGGTGCGCAGCGAGGGCTGGTCCGCCGTGTAGGTGGCCCGCAGGTGGATCATAATCAGCAGCTTCTTGCAGTCGGAACTGGAGTCGTTGCGCACCTGGGCGTGGATCAGCATAAACTGCCCGGGAACATAGCCCTGCTGCTGCAGTGTGACCTTCAGCTCCACGGGATGTGTGTGCAACATGCAGAAGTACTCAAGCGCCTCATTGCTTGCTGGCTCACGGAGCATCTTGCTCTCCTGATTCAGATCCAGCAGCTTGAGCACAGTGAAGCCCACATTGTGGGTGCGATTGGAGGCGCCTGCCTTCAGAAATGTGACCTTTGCCAGGTAGCGTATGTGTCCGTAGGCCCCCTCGAAGGACGATGGGCAGTGGCTGGGTATGGGACAGGCAAAGGTGTAGGTGTACGTGCCCGCATCAATGTTGAAGCAGCTGCCCTGCTCCGATCCCATCAGATAGGTCGTCGAGGCTATATAATCCTCACGTCCACTGTACAAGTGTTTGGTTCGCTTTTTGGGATTCTGTATGGCCATGGCCTTGCCATGTCTTCGCACCCTCCACTGGGCCAAGGCATAGCCGCTGAGTTGGAGTTTGATTCCTGGCAAAGAAAGTAGAGAAATCAAAAAGTTATCATAAATATAAAACACTGCACTTAATACCTTCTGAAAGACAAGAAAACCCACACCAAAATAATGACTAACACCCTCTGGCATTTCCTTAGTTTAATGTCTACAAAATTAAATCAGTTTTGTGTGTACATCCCCCTACGCACACACAGCCGAGTGGGGGTGGGCTTGTTATGGCTGGCATCATCAATTATCAGACATGTATAGATTCCACGCTGTGGTTATCATTAAATTAGCCATTTTAATGGTTTTTAGAAATGGTTTTGCATTATCCAAGCCGATAAGATATGCCCCGAAACAGATAAGCAGCAGCCACCTGGCTGTAGTTAATGAAATGTGCCAAGGATAGGTGTACAGATCCTGATGCCATCCCATTCTGATTCACTTACCACGCAGTTTCTTGGTCTTTGTCAGATTGACTATCACTTTTCCGGTTATCACCTGGCCGGTGAAGTAGGTGCCATGCTCATTCTGATCGAATGTTATCATGCAGTTTTTGGACATTTCGACGAATGGAGCTGCTCCGCCTCCAGATATCAGGTGTTTTTTTTTTTATTTTATATTTTTGTGAGCGATCCGCACACGCTCGTTGCTCAGCGTAGACTGAAGGCTATCTCTGGTTTTAGCCAGGCCTATGCGCACGGACCCGTAACAAATATTTACTGGGGTTTGTTTGGCATTATCTTATCGCCCCCCACTAACTCTCTGCAAAGCCCACAGAAAAATGGTCGACATAGGAGTGCGAAAAAAAAATCAGAGAATGAGTGAGAGAGAGAGTTGAGTTGAGTTTTGAGTGGAAATTTTGCACCCAACAATTTTCTGTGAAAATTCAATTGACTCAATTCAGTGAGGGCAAACTTTGGAGATTACAACCCCCTGATAATTATGTGCGTTCATATATTTCTATGGCTATCTCTCAACCTTCGGGAAGCACCACAGCGGCAGGCAGACATAATCAATCTTTTTTCCTCATATCATTTCATGTCCAGCATTTACACATGTAAATACTTCTGTACAGTAACATAATAAATTAACTTTTTAAATACAGAAATAATTATCGCATTTGATAAGATAAAACAAAATACAGACAACAGAATGTTGGCCAAAAAGTAAAATATAAATAATGCTCGCAGTTTGTCTTCAGTTTGCTGGTTGACGACGATACAGAAAGGCCACAAAACAAACTTTACTCGTTGCGTGATCATCGATTGGAATCAAACTGCAGTATGGTTATCTGTGAGATACAGTTTAATAACAATCCCCAGGGTATTTACTATGCCGGGCAGGTGATCTCCGGTCGGGTGCTGATCAAAACGGATAAGGTGAAGCAGGTAAAAGGTGAGTCATATCATCATATCTGGCCTTGGTGGGGGGAACTTTTGGTGGCAGACGGCATTAAGTGGCTTGCCAAAAATTCTTTAACAAACTAATCCATTGATAAATGTCTGGTCTATATTTAGCGGTGGTGCTCCAAATCAAAGGGTATGCTGAAACACATTGGGCAGATCCCGAATACGATTCGGGGGATCAATCTAGTGGCTCGTCGTTCAACGGGCATGTGGATTATCTAGCCACAAAGGCGTATCTGCATGGAACGAGCTCCAGCATAGGTAAAATCATAATTAAGCTTAAACAAAATAAACAATTTGTAGTCTAATGTCTCGATTTAAGAAGTGAAAATTGAACCTGGCACTGGAACATACCGATTTGCCTGCCAAATACCCTTGACCTGTCCCTCATCTTTCGAGGGCACTTATGGTCGCGTGCGTTACGTTGTAAATGTGACGTTTGTACGTCCCTGGAAGTTCGATCAGCACTTCAATCGATGCTTTACTGTGCTCAAAGTGATGGACTTGAATACGGAGAGCCTGATGTTGCGTGTAAGTATTGGGGGCAGAAATCTCCCTTAGATTCCAGATTTCTTCTGCCTTCTAGGTGCCCACTCAAGTCGAGTCCCAGAGGACCTACTGCTGTTTTCCCTGCACCTCGAAGCCACTGAGTCTGCGCCTCTCCCTGCCCCAAGGTGGCTTTGTGCCAGGACAAACCATGCCCATGGGTGTGCTTGTCGCCAATGACAGTCACATACAGGTGGAGGAGATCACCGTTCGACTGGCCATGGTGGTGATCTACTACAGTCGGCCCCCGTGTCCGGACACCAACAAGGATCGCTTTGTGGTGGCCGAGAGGACGGGCGAGGGTGTCTCCAAGAATAGTCGAAAACAATTTACGTTTGATCTGCAAGTGCCAGCCACACCGCCGACCTGCTTCAACCTGTGCAGCATCATTCAGATCGGCTATCAGGTGGAGGCTGAGGTCAAGGTCAAGGGCTGTCATTCGGGGCAGAGTGTGCATATGCCGGTGACTATAGGCAGCGTACCGCTGACCAAGCAGCTGCAGAAGCAGCCCAGGACCTGGGAGGGAGATCCATTGCCACCAGAAGTGGATGCCAAGGCTTTGATTTTGTTAGAGGAAGAGGCAGTCGATGCGGCAGCTTGTCCACCCAGTCCCTGGGCAGCTGATCCTTCCATAAGTGAGTAACTAATTTCCTCACTTTGAATTCTAGTGATATTTTCTTTGTGTCTGTTTTATAGCCCCACCGAATTTCTACGAGGCCAAACATATACGTTTGGAGCGGGAAAGCTCCTCCAGGTCGAAGAAAAAATCGCAGAAGAAGGACCAAACGGCAGAAATTGTGTACACGCCTTTGTATGCCGTCTTTGAGCTGTCCACAGAAATGGAAAATGCAATTGAGAGACCAAAAGGCTATCAGACTGAAGGCGGTTTTGTCAACGAGGATATCGATAGGAGCACTTGGCTGTAATAAATTATTGAAATCTATCCAATAAAGAAATTCAATTGAAGCCACGCGACTTAATGCGCCCATTGCTGGGCATTTACTGAGCGGCTTTCTATCTTATCGGGGCAAACAGGTGCCTCTCATCAGTTATTTGAGTTGAGTGAAGTGGTGCGGCTTCAAATGACTCGATGCTTGCTCGCGTAGGGAACCAAAAAACCCCCCGAGTCGGCTATTTGATTACCTATTCTTATCATTATTGTGGGCTCCACCGATAATGTTTCGCACAATTTTGTTTGTTGCTGTAAGCGAGAACGTAAATGTCAATGTAAAAGAAATTTGTTGTTTCGTTTACCAAGAATTATATTAACGATGGCTTTGATAAGATAATTCAAGCACACCACCAAAAAAAGCACAAAAAGAACTAGAAAGAGGGCGGCAAACGTCAGTTCGCTATTAGCCATCGAAGAGGGCACGGGCACAGGCACAGCCTTACAGTCAAACGAAAAGCAATAGCCAGTTGGAATCCCATTACAATTCAACATTATCTATTGCATTGAATCATGGGCATAATTTGTCAAATTCTATTTCATAACAATACCCATGGGGTTTACTATGCCGGACAAACGATTTTTGGCCAGGTGACGCTCAGCACGGATACAGTGAAACAAGTCAAGGGTGAGTGTGGGAGCTATCAAAAGTGCTTCAGATTTGATTCCCAATCCAATCCCCTTTTATCAGGCATTTTCCTGAAGGTCAGAGGATTTGCCGAGACGCATTGGACGGAGAGCAGCACGGATTCGAATAACAAATCCACCTCGGAGTCGTACAATGGATTTGAGAAGTATATGTCCAGCAAAGTCTATCTCTTTGGATCGGGTACTAGCGCTGGTAAGATTCGAGATTCATACTTGTGTCCGACCACTTCAATGGGATCTTTTCTTTTCCCACAGAGTCCACCCTTGAGCCTGGCACTAGGACCTACCAGTTTGCCTGTAAAATACCCGCCCATTGTCCCTCCTCGTTCGAGGGTAACATTGGTCGCATCAGCTACAGGATTGGTGTGAATATCGTGAAAGCCTGGAAGTACGACAGCTTGTTCTCTCGTACTTTCACTGTGCTGCAAACCATGGACTTGTTCACCTATAATTCTGTTGAGCATGTGAGTTTTTCATCGCCAAAATGTACTTAGTTTTCATTTACTTTGTACTCAGGTGCCAGTGCAGGCAAAGTCCGAAAAGACCTTTGGTTTCTGGCCCTTCAAGTCGGATCCTTTGAGCCTGGTGCTAACGCTGCCTCAAACGATCTTTGTGCCCGGCCAAACGGTGCCCTTGTCCGTTCTGGTGGCGAATGACAGCAACATCAAGGTGCAGGAGCTCAAAGTGAGCCTGGCCATGATCGTCACTTACTACAGCGACCTGAGTGCTGGCCACAATATGGAGCGCTTCTCAGTTGTCAAAATGAAGGCCGATGGCGTGTTGAGAAACACCCGAAAGCAATTCGAATTTCAGCTGCAAGTGCCCTCCACACCGCCCACCTGCTTCCATCTGTGTCGCATCATAAAGATTGCCTACCAGATGGAAGTGGTGGCCAAAGTCAAGGGCATGCATGTGAATGCCACACTCAATGTGCCAGTGACCATCTGTGGTGTGCCCCTGTCAGCGCAGGTACGACAGACACTGCCGCAGGAGCCGCAGGAGCACAAGCCACTAGTGCCAGATCCAGGAGCCTTGACATTGACTCCCAGCGATTGCCAGGAATGTGTGGAAGGTGCTGCAGGTCCAACGGCTCCTGATAGTCCCTGGGCAGATGATCCCTCAATTGGTAAGTTTTAATGTGTTCTGTTTTTGCATCTTACTAGCTAACTTTGATGATCTACCACAGCTCCGCCCAGCTATTCAGAGGCCATGCACATTCGTCCTGATGCAGCGAAGGCCAATCAAATGTCAGCAGATGCAGGCCCATTGGGGGGCGAATTGCCCTATAAGCCTTTGTACCCTGTTTTTGATTTGACAACTGCAGCAAAAGGGAAGCAGGAATATCCGGCAGAATATGTGCCAGAGAAGAAGGAAGACCCCTCAGTATATTCCGAGGAGAAAAAAAAAGTGAAGAAACCAATTTTCAAATGAAGAAAATTGGAAAAATCAAATTTACAACCCCCCCCCTCAAGGATTGCACACCTTGAAAGAGTTGCTCTTTGTGTGAAATTTATACGAGTATAATTCAAAATTGTGACAGAGATAAGATAAAGAAATTGCCTGGCCATTGCGGCTACCAATATATGATACAATACGAATACGAATACGATTACGAGTACGAATATAACCCCAGCGCAGTATTTGTTTCATTCTCAGTTTGTTTCTGGCAGCCAACCGGGCGGGTTCCTCTCCACTCTTATCGCTGCTGCTGCTGCTGCTGTTGTGCCACAAACAATTCTTCTGCGGGGGAGAACCGAGTGCAGAGAGCAAATATTTTGTGTGGAAAGAACATACACATAGGCTGGCATTAAAATCAAATCAGTTGTGTTACGTGCTGGCCGCAAGGCAATAAAGATACGCAGATACAGATACCGAATACAGATACTCCAGGACACACACCCATTATGACTGTTACCTGTGAGATCGAGTTCGATAACAATCCCCATGGAACGTATTTCGGGGGCCAAGTTCTAACGGGCAGGGTAACTCTCAAATTGGACAAAGTGAAGCTGGTGAAAGGTATGCTGCCATTTCTTTTCAGTTTCACTCATGACTCACGACTCTTGGCTGGCCTTATCTTATCGCTGAAATTTTCAAGTGCAGTCTAACATTTTTGTACTCCAGAGAGATCCAAGAGCAACGCCTATGAATCATATTATTTATGCGGAGCTGATCGAGTACACGTGCGAAATCCAGCGCAAATACAGGAGTGTTCATGCCTGATAAATATTTGCATGCGATAAGATTAATATTATTTTTAAGTAATCAATGATTTGGCATTAATGGGAATTAAATTTGGCTTTTTACCTTTGCATTTTTGCAGCCGTCACATTGAATATAAATGGATATTCGGAGACGCGTTGGCGCGAGAGGAGGGGAGGCAATTCGAGGGATCGCAAGGCACGACGCACGTTCTATGGTCGTGAGGATTATATAGCATCCAAAACGTTTCTTGTGGGCTCCAATTTAAGCAGTAAGTGCACACAGATATCTCTGTCTCTCTGGTTATATTTACAACTACGAATATCCTTTATTTGCCAGGCCAATGCTCCATTGAACCGGGCGTACATGTCTACAACTTTGCCTGTCAGATACCCACAGAGTGTCCCTCCTCCTTTGAGGGCACGCATGGACGAGTGCGCTACATGACGAATGTCACGCTGGTTAGGCCATGGAAATTCGATCAGAACTACACGCGTTGCTTCACTGTACTCAAAGTGATGGACCTGAACTTTGACAGTCCCCTGCTGAGGGTGCCCGCACACAGTGAGACCTCGAAGACCTACTGGTGCTGGCCCTGCACCTCGGATCCGCTGGCCCTGCAGCTGACTCTGCCGCAGACAGGCTTTGTGCCCGGCCAGAGTGTGCCCCTGAGCGTGCTGGTGACCAACGACAGCCACATTCCAGTGGAGCAGCTGATGCTCACCCTCGTCATGTTGGTCACGTATCACAGCAAGCCGCCATCGATGCCGAACTCCACTTCCGAGCGGTACATCCTGACCACCGTCAAGGGAGATCCCGTGCCAAGGAACTGCAAGAAGCTGTTCAACTATGAGCTGAGGGTTCCTGCCACGCCGCCGACGTGCTTCAATCTGTGCGGCCTCATACAGATCGCCTACCAGGTGGAGGTGCAGGCCAAGGTCAAGGGTTGCCACACCGACGAGCAGGTGAGCGTGCCACTGACCATTGGCAGTGTGCCCCTGTCGCAGCACGTTCACATTCAGCCACGCGGCCTGCCACAGCAGCCACTTGATGTTCAGGGATTGGCCTCAGCTCCGCCAGCAAATCCCGCCAGTCCCTGGGCTGTGGATGAGGATATACGTGAGTTCTTTCTACAAGAAAACACAATTTTTGGAATGAGTTTTAATGGTTCCACTTGCCATTTCAGCTCCTCCCAACTATCAGGAGGCCATCCATATGCGATCTGCTGCCTCTACCGGCAACACAAACGACACAGACGACGATCCAGAGCCAGTACAACCAAATACTCTCAATCCCGATGGCAGCGTCTACCAGCCGCTCTATCCGGTCTTCGATATACCCAGTCCCACGGCTCCAGCCCCATCCGATTGGACGCAGAACTATATGGCCGAAAGGGCATTTGTGAATCCAGCTGCGGATGCGGACAAGGATAAGGGGACTTGGCTTTGAAAAGGGAACAACGAAACTAAGAGAAAGCGACGCATTAAAAGTATAAATTAAATAATTTGTATATGCAGCGAACTATGTAAATAAAAAAATAAAAATAAACGATTAAAATAAAGATTATTACTAGCCATATAAAATGTATACAAATTGTAGCTACAGGTTTAAGTTTATTGCGAAATCAGCTTACATTTCTACAGATATAACTCTATATCGTCAGGGTATAATTATGAGTTATACGGCGTGAAAAGAGGACAGTAATAAGATGGTGTTAGAGGCATTTAAGTCGCGAAAAATGTGGCTGTGATTTTGTGTTTAGAACTCTGCAACTTTTACGATCCGAAACTATTAAAAAAGCCCTTAAAGTTGTATGGTAAATATCACAATATTGTGTTCCCTATCACCCTTCATCTATGTTCTGGGTACGCACTTCCACTCTGTTCTTTAAAAGATATGCCTCCACATTTACTTTAATGCTAAATTCTTATCAAAATCACTTAAAACATGAAAGATTCTTGAGAAACATGTCCAGGGCCAAGGCCTAACTTCTCAAATGCGATAGCAAACCAAACATCCACTTCTCCAGTCGTTTACCTCCCAATGCTCACAATTTGCGTAGTTTTCAAACTCTTATACCAATTTTCATGCCCGATGCGAGCACTCTCAAACGGTCACATATCGTGCTCAGAAGTACGATTCGCGCCTTCGGCTATAGAGGTCTTATCGCTTATCTTAGGAGGTGGTCGAGGCACCACGACCAGCCACCACGACCCTGCCTGTCCAGAAGTTGTGCATTTAATTTAGTCGCAGGCTGTTGGTTGATTCGAGTGAGTGGCGCGCGGTTCGGTAACATCAAGAAAAATGGTTGTTACGTGTGAGATCAGCTTCGATAATAATAGATTTGGCACCTTCTATGCCGGACAGCTGGTGGGTGGCAGTGTAACACTCAAGTCCGACAAACCAAAGGAAGTTCAAGGTACATTAAAGATCTATCAATAAATTAGTTAGATATACGAGTGGGATTAGGAGTAGTTTCCCCCATTTGGGAGTGTTCTTTGCACTGAAAGGTGTCTCAATTCAGTTGTTTTATTTTAGTTCTGATTAGTAAGGGCATTATAAATATTTCCCCGATAACGATACGGGTATATAGTATGTACCCGCGAGGTATATGTATTTTTATGACGACATTGGCTTTAATTGTGGAATTCTTTTGGTCTGGGGAATGTGTGAAGTTGATTGATAAGTCGCCAAAAAGGAATATACAAAACTATAAGATTAGAACGGAAATACTTTTCGCTTTAGCAAATGGGGGAACTTCCCAGATTAATGGAAAGAACTTAAGACATACATAAATTTGAATATATATGTTACATAAATTGAGGAAATTTGCACTCAATTGAGTTCATTTTGAGGGTTTGGTAACATAGTTAAGATTAGAACTACTTTAATCTATCTCTCTCTCTCTCCACAGTTTTTAAATTAATTCTCAAGATAAATACTTAATCTCTCTTCTCTCTGCCCTCTCTCTTTGTAGCTATCTTGCTCAAGGTAGTTGGCTACTCCATCACCAAGTGGAGTGAGAAGAGTCTGGGATCCACTAAGCAGTATGCTGGCAGAGAAGACTATCTATCGTCCAATACCTATCTGGTGGGGTCCGAGCAAAGTGAGTCATTAAATCCAATAAAACTAGATACATTTACATCTCTCTCTCTCTCTCTGTCTCCTTCGATAGACAACAACAGACACAGCATAGAGGCTGGCGTGCATAACTATGATTTTTCCTGCCAGCTGCCCTACCAGTGTCCTTCCTCCTTCGAGGGTCGCTACGGCTGCATACGATACATAGTGAAAGTCCTGCTCATTCGACCCTGGAAATACGATCAGGCCTATACCACGGGATTCACAGTGCTCAAGATGATGGATCTGAACTTTGAGACCCCACAGCTGCGGGTAAGAAGTCATGATTTTAGTGACGGAGAAATTCATTTTCTCCTGCCCCTTCCCCAGTTGGCGGCACACAGCGAGGGGTATCGCACCTTCTGCTGCGGTCCCTGCAAGACGGATCCGCTGAAGCTGGAGCTGAATCTGCCCCAGGCGGGCTATGTGCCTGGACAGAAGATACCCGTCACCGTTGTGGTGGTGAACAACACCAGTGTGGCCGTCTCCCAGCTGCGTCTCTCCCTGGTGATGCTCATCCGCTACTTCAGCCTCAGTCCGGATCACGCACGCGTCGAACGCATCATCATCTCCAGAGCGAAGGGAGACTCCGTGCTGAAGCAGTGCACCCGCTCCCTGACCATTGACCTGCCCGTACCTGCGACGCCACCCACCTGCGTGGAGCTGAGCAATCTCATTCAGATTGCCTACCAGGTGGAGGTGGAGGCGCTGGTCAAGAGCCTCCGCGAGGAGCAGCTGATGGTTATGCCCGTGACGATTGGCACCATGCCCCTGGCCGTATCGGGGATTGTTGTCCAGCAGCCACCACGACGAAGTGCTCGCTATGATGGCCCCGCAGATGAGTTGCCTGTGATCACGGCCCTGGGGGCTGTGCCCAACGATTTGACGCCCAGCCAAGGGAATGATTTATGTGAGTGCAAAACAGACTTTATAATAATTCCTGTACTTATGTTACCACATCCCTTAGCTGCACCCACATATGAGGAATGCATACACACTCCGCGCGGAAATATCAACGAGGAGGAGATCCATGCTTTTGGCATCAACGCATTTGCGCCTCTGTATCCCGTTTACGGTATGCCAAGTGCCACGCCAATACTCTCTGCGAATGTGAGGAGTGCAGGGCTCGTCAATCAGAGCTTTGAGAAATAAACAGCTGGCAGTGCCAATTTTTTAAAGATAATAAAAATAATAGAAATTTAACCGCCATCTTTGAAGCAGTGCACTGCTTGCTCTGTTATGCTTTCACTGTTGCGCTACAACTGTTAAGCTAACATAGCAGGTGTCTGTTATTGCTGTTCCAGAGTTGCAAAAACATGTTGCCAACAACTTAACACGTTGCCAAAGACTAACAGCATGCTGCCAACGATATAACATGTTGCCAACAACTTAGCATGTTGCCAATTTTTTTAAATTATGCTGCCCAAAAAATAACATGTTGCCAATTTAATAAAAACATGCTGCCAACACTTAACATGATGCCAAAGACTAACAGCGTGTTGCCAAAGTCCTTGCATTTTATAGCGCGGAAAGTGACTGTTAAAACTTTCTTCTACAACGTTAGTGTTAATGTAACGTAATGTACATTCGTGTAACATTGTGTCCCAAAATGCACTGTTAAAAATGCACTGCTTTGTTCAGCAGAATCGGCTTTATTCTAGAGTCAGAAAAGTTCTCTTAAATAAAAAAACAATAATTTAAAAAATGAGAAAAATCAGATAATACCTTTAGAAAAGTTCAGGGACTACATATATATTCCCACCCCTACCTACCCTTATTGTGTTTAGTGCAAATGCTTAAATTTAGCCCCAGGCACGCTCAAAAAGCCATCAACCAGCAACCGGGGACAATAACAATATTCTGGGCAACGAGAGAATAAAGGACCACCCACAGAGAGTCACGGACATGTTTAGTTTTTATCATTCGTGCATTTGTTAGCAGACCCGTACTTACCGTGGTCGGTCTTCACCACCTACCACCCTCAAAACCTCATCCCCAATCCACCAACTCCCCGTTTTTCCGGTTTTGCCCACACACGACTTTCCAGTTGGTAATCTGTTTGAATGCTTCCCCTCGTAACCTCTCATTTGTTTGCTGCTGGTACCTCTACCTGTACGAGTACGAGTACGAGTATTCCCGGCTGAAGTGTAAACGGATTAAATGCAATTGACACTGGGGCATTAAATATTGGAAACAGTTTGCCCAACTTATTAATCAGCTTTGCTCAAGCTGTGAGCATTAGCCGTGTGCCCCCTCCTCAGTCATTCATTTAACCGGAGGAGAGGTTAACGTTAACTACAGTTTCGCAGGGATTTCAGACACACAACCTAAGGGGTGGGTACTCGAGGTATGCGTGTTTGGGCCACGTTACCAGGTTGTAGTGGCGGCAGTCAAGTCGAGTTAAGCAAATGCGCTGAACACTAATGGCGGCATTAACTAATTTCCAACGCGCCGAATGCCCCCAACGGCGGAGGAGCGCCGCTCCTCTGTCTGGTCTGGTTTGGTCTGCTTCTGCTCTGCTCTGCTCGGTTCGGCTCTGTTTGCCCTCTTGCATTTAAATGGCTTACTCAATGGCATTTTCGTGGTAATTGGCATTTGGCTTTGGCATGTCCGAGTGCCAAACTCTAGACTAAACTAAATGCATAACCAGTGTAAGGGATTCGCTCGCTGCTGCTGCTGCTTTTCCGGCATGGCATTAACAGTTTTCTAGCTACATTTTCAGTCGTTTCGTTTGCTTGTTTTTCGGTTTTTCGGTTTTGTGTGGCAACTGGAAAAACGGAAAAAGTAAATTAGTTGAGATTATGCCCTCAAGGCCTTGCAAGGGGCCAAAAGGAATGGCTTAACATACAGCATCGTTATAGAAAATGTTTGTAAAATAAATAAATAACAATTTTAAGGGTTCCTGCACACGAAACATTTTGGGTAAGTTTTTACGATAAACAAATCCCCCGGCATTGCTTGGGGATTTTTATAATTTAATTTATTTCCGATGTCTGTTTTAAAAGCCATTTATTCATGTTTCAAGTGCCAGCAATTGATTCTGCCGCTTGTCTGAGCTGATTTCGCCGCATCTAATGGATTATAGATACTTTTACTTTACGTGCCATATACTCGTACTCGCAATCGCAGCCATATAGCCATATGGATAGACATGTTTTTGGCTCAATTTGCTGGCCAAGTCTGCGCTACTCTTTGGGGTTTCATGGCGCGCACACAACGCACAAAAAAGCGAAACAAAATTAGCATTTTCTTCCTTTTTATTATTATTTTTTTTTTTTGTATATTCGATTGGGTTTCGTTTGGGGCTTGTCTACAACGTTTTTTTTTTCCGTTGGCTTCCGTTTCCTGTTGGCTGCGTTTTTGTTTCGTGCTTCACTCGCAACGTGTTTTTTGTTTATCCCAATGCTTTGCACCTTTGCGCCATGCCACCACCACAGAGGGCACACACACACACACACACATACGGATGAGAGTGTTCTACAGTTTTGTTCCTTTACTTAGCTCTGACTCTGCGGCTCTGTGTGCCGGTGTGCTGCGGCTTTCACGGGTATTTCACTGCTCGGTGCGCACACTGCCTGGGTGCCACACCTCCCAGCATACAGCATCCAGCATTCAGCATCCTATGCCACCATGCTATATCCTTGCCATATCCTGGCTGCTGTAGGTTCTTGCTGCCACTCCGACAATCCCATATTCTTGTTGTTGCTGCATTGATTGTGGTGGCACCAGCCACACACACACTGCTCTGCACAACAATCGCAAGTGAATTTCTTTCAAACAAACGAATTTCAGCGGCTTTGATGGCAGCAATCTTTGCGGAGGTCCTGCCATCGACATCGGCATCGACATCGACAACAGTGTGTTTGGGTTTGTGTTTTTGTTTTTTTGTGTTTGTGTTTGACTCGAGCCATAAAGATGATTGGGCACTTGTGATTAGTGTTGGTGGTGGCCCTGTTGTTTGCCTCTCCGCCTAAAAAGAAAACCAATTTCGTTGAACAACTATCAAGGCTATGCCTTTGCCTTTAAGAAGGGCCTTGAAAAAATGCCACTCGTTTGCAGTTATTCTTGGGCTGTACTACGTACATCATGGCGCAACTTTGCAAAGCCTCAGCCTCATTATAGCTTCATTAACACTATGGTTTGCCCCCGCTTTCTCCCTCTGCTCTCTGCTCTGTGTCTCTATAAACCAGAAAAAGTTCTGCCTAACTTTTTGCTAATGGCAGAAACCCGTCACGCACTCTCAGCCAAAAACTAAAAACTTTATTGTCACTTGTTACCTAAACAGAGAGAAAACACACACAAAAATGTACGAAAAATAGAAAAAGAAAAATGTAGAGAAGAGCGTACAACAAACTAGATGAAAGCCCCCATACGAAAATGGCAATTGACAAGATTTAAGCCGTTGCCTCTGACTGAAGTTTTCTGTATGTCGACGACAGTCTAAGCTACTTTTGCCAGAGCCACAAAGCAGATGAGGATGAGGACAGCCAGCTGCAGCTGCAGCAGCAGCTGCAAAGTTTTTCACTGAGAGTTTCCTTTCGAAAGTGCAGCCGCGCAATGAGGGCTCAGTTCTCTTCTATTCAATTGACTGCAGGTACTCCGCACACACACACACGCACACGTGTGGGTAGGGTGGAAGTGTGGAGAAGGGAGCCGTGAGTGTCAGAAAGTTGGTTAGCCAAAGTCAATGACTGGCGCAAAATCAAATCTTCTTATCCGTTTCTCTCCGCTGCTGCTGCTGCTGCCACAAAAACCCTTTGGCTGAGTGGCTGCTGCTGGTGCTGCTGCTGCTGCTGTTCTACGGTGTCGTGAGTCCCTGGGTTGATGCTCGGCAAATTTCATAAATCAAAGTGCCTTCAGGAGGTGCGTGTCGATGGATTCCTGGATTCCATGCACGATGCTGTAATTGCTTTATGCTCTGGAGCGTGATGCGGTCAACATCGCAACGTGAGCGTGGCATTTCGGACAGGGTCCAGAGCCACAGCTATCTGTCTCTTCCTCTCTCTCTCTCCCTCTGTGCTCTCTCTCTTCCCTTCCTTTTTGTCAATTTAGTGAATTGGAAAAGTTGAAAAGTTTTATGATATTCTTCTTGTTTTTTTTTGGTGTATAGTTAGCCAGCTATTCGATGCGTCGTTGCTTGAGGTTATGGGCTGCCACAGCCGCAGCCGCAGCCGCAGCCACAGCAGTAAAAGGGTGACCCATATTTTTGGAGGAGTCAAAGTACTGAAGTTCCACCTTAAAACCATGTCCCATAATGGTCAGGAGTCAAAAGTGTTGTTTGGCCAACAATTTCCACCGCTGCAAAGGCGAACACACAGACCAGACACAAAATGCTTCGCTGACAGCCAATGGGTGCGGTGTGGGGGGTCCAGGTCATCAAAACAAAGGAGAAAGGTAAACTTTTTTGGCATAACTTTAAAAATTGCATGGAAACCTCTAATAAATTATGTCAGTCCTCGGGCTGTTGCTCCACGTTCTCGCTTCATGTGGCAGTAAAAAGAAACGAAAAATATGTACATTTTGTTGATAAAAATGAAGATTGCTAGCCATCAAGCGAAACACACCTCTCTGGCTCTCTGGCTGTAGGAGGAGTGCATTGCACTCGAATGTCAAAGCTAATAAGCAGCTGTCTCCCCAGGGATTGAGTGGGGAAGAACTCGCACCTTTCCGCTGCTGCTGCTTTTCTATTTCGTGGCAGATTTATGGGTTAATATAAAGCAAAGGTGATGACGCTCTGAGGCAATGCAGGTGGCAAAAAGTTTAGTGTCCACATATAAGAGTAGGTAGGTATATGTGGCAGCACTCCTTTCCTGTGCTTCTGCTCCCCAATGTACGAGTATGTGTGTGGCTGAGGCAAAGGAAATGCCAGGCTACAGCTGCATACTTTGCGGCTGTGCGCACTAATTAATGAAACGCTTTCCACTACCTTTTCCTCTGGCAGGCAGGCGGCCAGTGTCAATGCATAAAGAAATTTCGCTAATTAAAAATAATAGCAATAGCAAAAAGGCTGCACAAACTTTGTCCCTGTTCATCGCTGTGTTCCCTTGTGCAATGCCATTTCTTGTGATTATTTTAACAACTTGCTGGCCATGTTGCAGGCGGCGTGGCGAACGACCAACCGTCCGACCATTCGCTGAAAACTCACAGCTTCACACAGCCATTGTCGGCGACGTAAGAAGAGGAAGAAGAAGTCGTACAAATTGCTCGCGGGCTGCAAGTAATTGTCTCTGGCTCGTTGGCTCGGGATTTGGATTTTGGATTTGGGATTCGCCATAGAAATGGCATTCTGCCGCCTCAACATCATTAAATGTGTATATAATGGAATTGCTGTGATTTGTTTCGAGCGGAAGATTTATTATCGCTTTGCCATTTTCCAGGCGAAAAAATCGGCTTTATGTTCCGCTTCCCTGGTGACAGAGTGCAACCAGACGATACGATACGATACGATACGATGGGTCTTTCTCACTCTGGCACGGCACTCTCTCTACTGACACAATCAGCATCAGAGTCGTTTACATAAACACTTTTCTGAAATTTATTGCTCTGACTCTCTCTTTATGTGTGTGTGTGTGTGTGGTGTGTGTGTGGTGTGCGGGTATGTCTATGTCAATGGCAAAAGTTTATGCATTTAATTTGTGCAAAATTTGCTTACAACTCAAATTGAATTAACCTGATGACTCAGTGGGAATGCCAGGCGTTTTGTGTTGTTCCTTCAAATGATTTCGCCACGAAACGGGCTAACTTTTATATCCTAGAATCTCGGCAGATGCTTGCTTGGGGAGTAAATCCCCATGGGAATCGCCCCCTGCATTTGTTGTGTGTGTGTATGTCTGTTGTTCAACTTGAAGTTTTTCAGACTCGCAATATGCAAACTCATTTGCATTCAAAGTTATCCCCTTCCTGCACAAGTTCTGCAAAGGGCACCGCACATATGCTGCTGAACACTATTAGGTCTTCATCAAATTAAAATATGTTCGCCCTGACGTGAATAATGGCTACGAGAGAGAGCTACGACCGACTCCATTGTTGAAATTAATTGCCTGCGAAACTATATACAAAAGTCATCTTTATTCTTCTACTCGAGAAGGTGTGCAATTTTCCAGTTATCAAATAAATTAAAACTTGACTTGTCCATGGACCCAAGCCAGATTCCAAAATGTCTCCCAAACCAGTTGCCAGATGCCTGATGACCAACTGCTCCGTTGAGCTGTTCAAACATTTGTCCAGCTGGAGCTGTGTAGTTGTGTGGGTGTGTGTTTGACACAGATAATACATATGAGAATTTGTGTGGGGGCTTGGGCGACATTGATGTTGAGGGGCTTTCCATGCATTTATGTGACAAAATGAAATATCTGTCGCATAAGTGAAATTGTTTTACTTTGCCATTGAAAAAACAATATATTTTATTAATATTCAGCACAAGTGGAAAGTGAACTTAATACCTTAATGGATTTCAAAGCACATTCCGATATGCACTCCACACTGCAGGTTAAACCATTTGTTTTTTTTTTTTTCCGAATAACTTTGGTCACTGACGATTGGCAGAATTGTGTTTAATTACACTCGTAATCCCCTAGCATATTTCATTTAATTTCGTTTACATTTGCATTGATTATCCACAGCTTTCGTTGTGGGTTTTGTTTTATTGTTTGACGGACATTTGCATTAAATGCACTTTAAAGCCACCAGAACAGAGCTTAAAGTGGCAGCAAAAAATTTGTGATTTATTTCCACTGCCTTGGATGGTTTTGCCAACTGCTTTGGCCTGCGGTGTGTCATTAAATTTGATCGGAATAGCCATACCCCCCCAACCGACCTTTTTGGTCAATTGAGTTTGCACTTAATACCTTTTACGTGTCCGGCCTGCTAATTAATGTCCATCGGCACATTGGACCGGCCTGGCCTGGCCGTTCGATGTAATAAATTGGATTTGCTGTTAACATTTTAGTCAGTGTTTTGTTCAGGGGAGTTGCCAGCCTGGCCCAAAGCCAGGAGAATTTAAAGGGAATTCAGGTGCTGCTGCCCTGCTTTAATAATTTGTGTTCGTGATCAAACTTTGGCCACTCAATTGCTGGCATTCTCTAGAGTAAGTGCCTGGCCCTCTGCTCATAAATAGTTCATTGCATTTCCATTAGCCACTCTGTCGCATTCTCTCTCGCAGGTCTGTTCGTTGACCTAATGTGTGCAATTCATTATGTACAATTAGAGTTCAATTCAGATGGCCTGGCCCATTGACTGGTCAAAGTTCAAGGCCCGTCTATGAGCGGCATCTTGAGACCACAACACATCGTTAATGGGCTGTGGTGAGTCAAAGAAAGTGTAACAATAATGGGCTCGTTTGTTTTCATTGCACACGTGCCCAGGCATCAGGCATCAGGCATCTGGTGGGGCTTTTGGTTAATAGACTCAACATTTGTGGCCATGTTTTTGCCTGGTAAACATTTGGCATGGAGTGGAGTCTGTCCTGGTTCTGGCTCTGGTCCTGGTTCTGTGTGCCTCTCAATGAGCCACTTTTGTGGTCGGGCTCTGACATGGCTCTGTTCTGTGCTGTTCTGCTCCATCATATTGCCCGCAAAATGAAATTAAACGCGTGAATACATATTTAATGGGGCAAAAATGTGTGGAATGATTTTGACGTTGATTTTTTTCGCTCTGCTCCTGCTGTCGTTAATTGTGTGCAATATTTTTACAGCATTTTTTGCATTTTTTACGTACAGCCTCCAGTGTGCGCCTGATTGTTGAAATTAAAAATTAATGCATGATTTTTGAAATGCCAATGTGGATGGCTCCGTCAATAAAGAGCCCACGCTGCATGCTGCCGCACTTTCAATTCCAGATATCTCTGCGGGTAAATCAGGGACGAAATTTCGTAGTCAGTTTTTCTTCTTCTACGCATATTATTAATTAACACCCGCTGCTAAGAGGCATCCGCCAATGATGAATTACTGGCAATAAGGATATTCGAATAATACTCGTATCGATTTAAGTGTTTTTATTTTTTTTATAAATTAAACAATCAATGAGAAGTGTGCCTGGGAGAATATCTCAGGACGGCACAAAGTGGCTTAACTTTTTTATTAATACACAAAGAATACAGGAAAAATTGCCAGTATGTCGGCCGATGATTTTGAGCGTAGGCCCTCGCATCGCGAGAGTCGTGGCAGTGTGGGTGGTCTCAGTTTGATGTCAAACAAGTCGGCTGCCTCTGCCCTGCGAGGACACACCATACCCGTACATCGAACACCAAAGTCCGTGGACATGGCCCGTGTCTCTGGTTTGAAAACGGAAGTGGAGCACTCACTCAGCAAATCCATGTCCAGTGTGTTCAGGCAGAGCACCACGAGTAGGCGGTATATGGATACCACTCAGCTGGACCACGAAGACTGGGTGCTGCGTCAAAGACATTTCAAGGACGAGGCGGATGTCAGTCAACACCCCAGCTACAACATTAAGTCGTTCTCCTAGTAAGTTCCACAAATCTTTTATTTATTTAATTTAATGTTCCTCTGCAAACAGCGATCTGAATTGCTATGTGAGATATTTGGAGGCAAAGGAGAAGTACGACAGGCAATTCCACCGTGAAATGCAATTCTTTATAACTAGTCAATCTAAGGCTATCAATCAGTTTATATTAAGGCGGTAGGTAAACATCCAAAATCCTCGAAAGTATATTCTATACATTGTTTTTCCCTTGCAGCATCTTCTGCTACAATAGTCAGTGGCCTCCACTGCATACACAACGGGAATTAAACCGATTTGTTACAAAGTTCTTTCAGCTGACACCCAAACAAAAGGCTCGCGTGAATTATCTGATGAAAACCGATCTGAGTGTGGGATCGTAGACCCTCAAGAGAGAGAGCAACAACAGAGCGCAGAAAAAGCATTGATAAAATTACAAATGCAATTGTGCTGATTATTCCAAATGAAAATTGTTTAATTAGCACATTTGTATTCGCAATTATGTTAAGCAATTTCCACATAATTAGTCTTTGAAAAAAAGCTACGCTTCACAAACAATAAATATAATTCTCATTGAATATGCTACATTTAATTTGGTTTTTTAAATGGCTTTCACAGATTTCGATATGAGAAAAAAGGTAACGAGGAAAATCATTTCAGATAATTAAAATTGGTAAGCCAGTGTGGAAAAGCTGTTTCATTTATGCTATAAGCTAATTCTATTATTCTAGACAGTTGTACTCAAATGTGTGAAGCTTATGTCAGCAATTGAAAGGTGTTTGCTTTGATTTATGAATAAACTACATGATTTTCATGCAAAAAAGGTAGAGGGAAAAAGGGTCTGAATAAATATATTTCCATTGCAAAAATGGGCTGGAAATATGATATTTACTTGGTTAAAAGGTTTCGTAAAAATGCATCAAATATTTAAAGTCTCATAGCTTTTCCAGCTGTAATTTGATTAAATTTAACAACAAAACTATCTCCCATTTAAGTTGTTTGCATTCAACAACATTTAATTTAAGTAAACTTTCATCCATTTGTTCATGTTAAATATTTGATTTGCATTCATAAATAAATTCAATAAATTCCAGCAAATAAATGAAATATTTTATTGTTGAATTGTGTATAACAATGTGCGAAATTTTATGCGAATGTTTGAGTGCTCGACCTTTTTTTTTGCTGTCATACATACATTTCCGATAAGCGACAAATGTTATGCCGTGCTGCAAGTGTATTCGCATTTTCGTGTGTGTGTGTGTGCTGACAGGAAGTACGTCATTTGTCAAGTACTACTTTATGGGCAGTTTTCCTTTTTTTTGCTTTGCCAGTTTTCCAGTTTGGTTTGCGCTGCGTAAACACCTGAAAAAAGGTCAACTTTACAAATGTTTGCACAACGAAATAATGGACAAAAGGCAGAGAAGAGAAAGAGGAGTCCTGTGTAAATGTTGCACTTTAATTTGATTTTGGCCCCAGGACTTCCAGAATTCTCCATACGAAATTCATCAATTAGCTTTACAATTTATTGTTTCATTAAGCAAACAATATGATGAATAATTGCCCAAAGGAGTTCAGAGTGCATTTAAATGCATTTCAGTTGAGTAGATTTTAATCATGGGCGAAATTCCAATAAACTAAATACTTTGGCATGGCTTAAAGCTTATTTGAAATCCTATTTGAAACTATGCTAAGCCTCTTTCGGGGGGGGGGGGGCAGGTGAAAAATTTCACACAATTAGTCCAGCAACCAGAATGGGGTTTTAGCATCACAAAAGAAAATATTCCGCCCCAATTCATGCAATGAAACAAAAAACTTTGTCTGTATCTCTCGTTTTTTTTTTATGTTCATTCTTTGACACTTTGAAAGTCCCATAGAAAATGATTCATGCTTCAGTGGTCAGGGAATAGCACCGGAAACTCCAACTCCAAACAGACACCCAACGCAAACCCCCAATCCAAACCATTTCCAGCAGTCTGCTTCAATTAAGGCTCAAAGTTCCACCAATTTTAAAGTCGACTTTAAATGAAAAAATGAAAATCACAGTAGGTGCTCTGGCATCCGCAGCTTTGAGCTATAAATTATAATTTCCGCATGCTGAGCTCTCTCGCCCACACCCACCACACACACCTCTCTGCGGAGCACCATCACCATCACCATCATCACCATCCCAACCCGTCCTATCCCATTGGTCCGTCGTCCGGTCGGTCATTCTCCGGTTTTATGATGCTTATGGAAAAAAATTCCTTACTGCTGCATGGCTGCAAGGTGTGCGCCAATTTCCGGCATATGTGAAAATGTCTGTGTTCGTGTCGGTGTCGGTCTCGGTGTCAGCTTCTGCGTACTTTTATATAAATTTTTTTGTAAAAAAAAAAAAATAGTTTGGCCCCTGCACAGGTACTCTGTTCGTATTCGTGTCGGTTGGTTCGTTCTCTGGCCGGACTCATGCATACACATGTTGCCAGAAGAGCCGCTGGCACGAAAATTATAATTAATTGCGCTTGAAAAAGTATACAAGAAAAAACTAATACCTGCATAGTTTTAAAGCAGGCTAAACCACAAACTGAAATCACCAGGCAAATGGTTAATATCTCTCATATGCAGTGTTTTGCCCCAAGGCAGGGGGGGATAACAATTCCTTCCATAAATAGTTAATATAACTCATACGCAGTGTTTGCCACGCGGAAATTCCATTCCGTAAATAGTTAACATCACTAATTCTCGCTGTTAGCCACAGTCAACTAGTAGTTCACCCCCCACAAAAATATACCAGAATACTGTGTAGGGCCATTTATTCCATTAAAATTCATGCACTACATATCCTTCTCAAGATCGCATCTGAAATGTTCACCTTTCAAGCAACAGTTTTTATTTTTTTATGCGTCACAGCCAATTTCCCAGCCACTCATAAATGCTGACTGATTCCTAAGGATTCCTCCTGCTGCTCCAGCTCCCCATCAGTGTAATGAATGTTGTTTGTTTGCCTTACATAATATTTAACAACAAGTACGGAGTAGCAATCCTGAGCACTCATTGCCTGGTAGCTCGTTTGTTATACAATCCTTAAGTGGGGTATTTGCCCTGCCAGCAGAAGTTTGCTTCTGTGGAGGGTAAACTCGTATCGGATGCAGTCATGCGAGACAGTTGAATGATATTTCAATTTGTGCAGATATTTTGAGGGTTAAAAATATACGAGTACGAGTGTATTCGGCGTTCTCTTTAAATTGGGAGATTCAAAGAGCTGGAAAGTGTTTTTATTTTGAAAGGGTGAAGTATGGGAGGCCATTAACACAGCTTATGGCGGTTTCTGCTTTAAAATATTTAGGGATGCTATTAGAAAGATCCAAATCATTCCAAAATCCCATATGTAAGTGTATCCAAGAAACTTCCTGTATTCCTCCACTAATTTTCTTAGTCTATAATTTTTATCATCAACATTCTTTGCCTTACACACTCACAAACACACAACATTTCTTATGTGTTTGCACGACGCTGTGGTTCCTGTGGTTCTGGTTGTGGTCCTGGTTCCTGCCCCACTGGTCGTAACTTCCGCTCAGGACGCACACCACTTGAGTTTTGTGTGGCATTGCAAAATGCATTTTATACGCAATAAAAATACACTTACGGGATTTTTTACAGCTCGCTCGCTTTGAGTTCGCTCCGCCCTCTTGCCCTCTCGCTGGGCGATTTCATTTCTTTTGGCGCCGTTTTTCTACTATAATATTTCCTACTTACGAAAATAAAAACGAAAAGTCAGTTTGTTCGGGGTCTGCCACTGGCTTGTTTGTGTTGGTGTTGAGTTCTACAGTTGTGCAGTTCTCCAGTTCCTCTCCTTTCGATTCGTTTCTGTCCTGTTCGGTGGTGTTCTCTGTTGGTTAAGGAAATTTAATGAGCTACTTAATGTTGTTGTTGCGACTGCTCGGAGCTGCAATTTGGCTTGCTTTATTTCAGCTTGTGTGTGGGTGGGTTTTTGTGCACTCCTCTCAGTTTACGATTTTAACAAGTTGGTTGTTAAATAAATTTAATTTATACGAGTATTGTCGCTCCCTTTACGCGTCGTTTTCTGCGGCTCGTTGGTCATTTCTTTGCCTCACTTTCACTTTCACTCTCCCCCTCCCTCACACTCCTGCATAAGTATGTGCGCTCTACAAGTTTATTAATATTTTCCCTGCCAGCAAACACTTAATCATCTGAATGGGTCGCCCGGCTTGAGTGCATGATTCCTGTAAAATATTGACAAAAGAACGAAAACGGGAAAACGGGAAAAAGGAAGGCTGAAAATACACACAAATAAATGGCCTCATCATCGCATTTACCTTTCGAGCCATATTTCAAGTCAAAATGATTCGAAACTTTTCATTTCTCGAATGCCGAATGGTGGCCCTGTGTAATGCTTATGGAAAGTGCTTTGTATAACCCCCCGAGAACTTTCCACTGATGAGCATGCAATTTTAATCAAATATTTTACCATTTAAAAATGTAAATAATTTTCCCACTTTTCATGCAGGTGGTTCAGGTTTTCATCAGCTAAAAATGTTTTCCGTATATTTTTCAAGCATTCTATTTGCACATAGAAAAATCTACACGAACGCAAAACAAACAGGGAAAGCAAATTGAATTTTCCACGCAGCGAATCGGGAGTAGGAAAACGCAGATGGAAGCACACGGAGAACCTTTGTCCTTTGACTTTCTATGGCAGTGCTATTGCCCTTTATTTGTTGAGAGGGACTTTCTGTGGCTATATTTGCTTCACGTAGGGTAGGGACTGACTCCTTTGATTTCTGTTAAATTAATTGTGTCATCTATATGGTTTGCAAGCGAATAAACATTATGGAATATACATATGTATGTAGATATGTATGTATGTACACACAATCAGCGACTATCAAAATCAACTGTTCTGTTCTGTTCCTGCTGCGAGTGTGTGTGTGTGTTGTGTGCATAGTCGATTGGCAATGCAATGCACAAAATGCAAAATTTCAAATGCAAATTCGAAATTCAAATGGCAATGCTAAGTAAATAACGTCATTGCGAAAAACGGCAAAAATGGCACAAATGGCAAAATGGCAAACGGCAAAGCGGCAACTGATGATGTGGCGGACTAGCAGCAGCAGCGGCAGCAGCAGTGGTAACAATCAGCAAGCCAACCAGGCTCAAATCGCATTACGCTGCCCTCCCTGACCTCTCTGTCTGTGTGTTTGTGTGTCGTCCCCTCCTTCACTCTGCTGAAGCGGTAATCAAATGCACACACATTCTCTGTACACTATTTAACAAATAAAAGGAGAGAGAGTTTTTTAAATTCGAAAAGTACCTTGTTCTTTTTCTACCTACATACATGAATATATTCAAAAATGCAGCAGCAGCATCAGCAGCTCCCACCTCATCCATAGAGATTTCCTCAGTGCAAAAACGCAATTCAAAAGTGAGACTGGGGGGGTCAACACGAAAATTGCTGCGAAATCGACTTTGGCATTTGTGACGGGGATCCCGGCGATGAGTGTATTCAGGCCAAAGTCATAAATTTCACAGAAATTGGGGTGGGGTGGGGGGGGGGGGGGGGGAAATGGAATGGATTCAGGCGATGCCTTCAAATCAGAATCGGGTAGCGTTTGCGAGTTTCAGTTGCAGCTTCGGTTTCGGGATTTTTGGTGGCAGTCGCAGTGGCTGTGGCTGTGGCAGTTTTGCTATGCATGTTAAATGAAATTATTGCAACGTGTTTTTTTTTTGTCAGAGCAAACCCCCACATGGCGTATGCGTAACGTTTACTCAATTCATCAATCACCGAATTTCTCTCCCATTTCTCGTACTATGTATATTTTTCGCTAAAAACTGGATTAGATTTATGCGACAGCAGCTCCCCAAAATGCTGCGACATATAGGTAATTTTTTTTTTTGCAATGTTTGCAAAAATTATCTATTTTGTTTAAATATTCACTTCGAATGGTTCCTTTTGGAACTGTAGAATTCTTTTTTCCACTTAAACTTAAATTCTGTTTTCTCCATTCGTTGGTATTCCGGCTTGCAAATCGTCGGCATTTAATCCAATTTTGTGTACTGCATAGCCCGGGCACTGTGGAAACTTTTGAAAGATTATATTTGAGTTTGCTAAATAAGAGTTGGTTCGTTCGTTCTCTTTTGTGCATACAATGTGGTCGAATATAATGTGCTGTATATATAGTTGTTAAAACGAGATTGAGGATAGCATTCATCTAGAGAGAGGCAGATGTAGCTTTGCATTCAAGTGAAATATGAATTGTTTGCAATTTATTTCTTTTGACTGCTGGCCTTTGGCTTTGCTATTTTTCCCATGGTATTTGCAGGGATCGTTAGCGCTGCTGGCCATTTTAAATGCTGGCAACACAACTCAATTAAGCCTGTAACTGAGTGGAGGTAAAATGTGCTGGCATGGGTATTGGTATCCGTGTCCGGACCTGCCTCTACCTTCTACATACCAGAAAATTTGCATCGTTTTAGAGTCCTGGGCCCGGTCCTGGACTGTTCAGTTCCACACTCCGGGGCCAATTGACGATGGGGCAGTGGGCAGTGCAGTCAGTGGGCTGTATACCACACCTGTCCCTGTCTGCCCTGTCTGGTAGGTGGACAAGTCGTTTTGCCACTCCATTGCAAACATTTTCTCTCTGTGTTGGTATTGGGCAATTCCCTCCATCACTCTACCTCTCTCTCTCTCTCTCTCTATCGCCGATTCTCTCTCTGTGTGTGCGTGTTAATTACATTTGGCTGGCAGTTTGGGCTAAAGTTCGGAAGTTCTTCCCCCTCAAAATTGAATTACAAGTTTTTCGGTTGCATTTAGCCAAAGTGTTTTTTGTATTTATTTGCCGCATTTATCCCAAACACACACACACACATGACCAGAGAGTAGTTTGTGTAACTTTTCTTTCTCTTTTTTTTCTGGCCAAAAGTTGAGCCAAGTTTCTGGCAAAAGATAAGTCAAAAATGGAAACAGAGTTTAGAGCTGCAGTCTGTCATTAAAATTTAGTATTTACTGGAACATTTAATTAGATTTTAAGGTGTGTGAAAATCTATCTAGAAAGCATGTGAGGGCCTCGGCTCGGTCAAAATGCAACCCAAGCCATAAAGGATGCTTAAACCCTTTTGTCTTACTCCTGGGATCCTGCAGGCATCATTAACCTTTCTGCGCACACAAATAATGAGGGGGGCACCGGCTATTGTCTACTTCGTTCCGCCTCGCCACCAAAATGCAATCAGCCTGAAAACAAGATTGCAAAAATGGGTGAGAGGGGTGGAGGTGCAGAAAGGGTCTTGCATAATAGAAATTCATTGCCAAATTACATAGAAAATCGTTGAGGGTGCTAAGAAGGTGCCGGCGGGCAAGTTGGCAGCATCTTTCAAGTTATTCACCAAGGCACTCGCACTCGCTCTCCCAGCCACTCCACACTCCATTCCATGCAGTTACCGCGTCTTTCGTGCTTTTCAGGCGAGTACAACGATTTTAATTACCGCAAACTGCGCGGCTGTAAGCGCATTACGTATACGCAGCGTTGCAGAAGCATCAGCAGCAGTAGCAGCAGCTGATAAAATCGCATTGAATGCAAGTTAATTAAAAGACGTGGCTCGCAATGGCCAAAAAAGAAACCTCTCGACTCGACTCGACTCGACTTGACTTTAATTAAAACTTAATTTGAACAAAAGATACGCAGTCCTCGCAACGTATTCATCTCAGGGCTGCAGCGTGCTCTCGATCCAGTCCATGTAATCTCCCACAGCGGTGTAAACGCCCGGCCAACCCTCGAGACCACAGCGATTGCCAAAGGAGACCACGCCCTCCTGGAACCAGGCATCCAAGCCCCTTCGCATTAGCGGACCCCCAGAGTCGCCATCACAACTGTCCCGATAGAACTCACCGCCCGCGCAGAGCTGAGCGCCGATCAGATTGATCTGTCGCGTGGCAAACTTACGGACACAGGCCTCGTGATCGTTAACGGGCAGGGAGAGTCTCTGCTTGATGTTGCTCTTGCGTGCTGGAAGATTGAGGGATTCTCTTATAGTAAAAACTCTCCATGATCTCTTTTATCGAACGTACCTGTGGTTGTTCTTCCCCAACCGCTGACCACCAGCTGATCACCCACATTGATCGCCTGTCGTGTTCTGGACAGAGGCAGGCACACGGGCTGAATGTATTCGTTCAGTGTTACCGGTTGTGCCAGACGTAGCAGGGCAATGTCATGGTAGCGATGACGACTCGTGGCATCGTATTCCGGATGGACAATAGTCTGCTCAATGGAGCGCTCTATAAATGGGGGATTGCAATCACCAGCTATACAGTCAATATCCTTGCTTGTGTCGTATTCTCCCAGGCGTACTGTGGTTCTAAACGGAAGAGAAAATGGATCGATAAGGGGCTAAGGAAGAAAAGTAGAAGCTACTTACAATTGTCCCACTTGTGCTGCCACATCTCCGATGACACAATGTGCAGCCGTCAGAACATAGCGATTGTTGATCAGACTTCCACCACAACTTAGCTGTCGTTGGCCTTTCCCTGCAAAAGAGTAAAGCTTAGGCAAATTCTCTTTATGGTTATGTTTGTGTCAACTTACGATCCACATACTCCAAGAGCGCCATCCAGGTGAACTCATCCAAAGCCGTATCATTGCCATTGTATACCTTATCGCTGAAGGAATGAGGACCACATTTGGGTGGCACTGGCAGTAGATTGCCATTACTTGATCCCTGTTGGCCACTGTTCTGCGTGGGTCTACTGCTCAGAACCACCGATCGCTGAGTGGTTGTATCTGCCGCACCAAAGCCCCTGTCATTGGTGCAACAGACATGTGGCTGACGACCAACGCCATTGTAGCACTGGGAGTTTTGCAGAAAAGCCCGATCATCGCTGCTCAGAGAACTCTCCTGGACGAGACCCAACAGACTGGGACAGTCATAGATCGATAGGCATTGGCCTTGCCGCTGATTGGGATTTCTACAGCCTGAAACAGTTGATAGTAGTTAATGGTTAGCAGTTGTACTGTAAGACGAGTGAGTGCACACATCGTATAGTGATTTACATGACAACTTGTTTGAATCGAAACTAGTTTGTTGTCGCTCTTTTTTGTTGTTTTCGCCCGAGAAGTCATTGCCGAGCCGTGCCATAAATTAATTACTCCAGCAAGAATTTAATTGATAACAAAAACAGCTTCATTGTCATACACATTAAAATTTGATGTGAACTCATACATTTTCTGTTAGGTTCAATAAAGCTATCTGCTCTGCAGCGAGCGCTTCAAAATTAAATGGAATTTTGCTTTTTATTTGAACAATTTCGAGTCATTCACTGCACGTAGACGCGGCGGAACAATTGTTCTCACACCTCTCTCTCTCTCTCACAATGACGTTGGGGTTATCCCCCAGGCAAAGTCAATGAGTCAGGGAATAAATTATGACATTTAGTAACTAACTTGCTTGGGCTTCCACTAGAACGTTGCTGAGTCCCAGGAGACAGGTAGCAAAAATGCCCAGCAACTCGAATGTTGACTTCATCTTGGGGATATTTCCCTTAATTTGCACAAAAAACACGCAAAGTAAATCAAATCAAATAAAAACACACGGACTACGACGGACTACACACAACGACGGCCTCGAACGGGAGGGAGACTCAGTTGGATGGAGACGAAACGAACGCGCTGAGGCGCTGACCAACTGATTGCAAACTCGGGTCCGAGAGGCCTTTAAATACCGCCATGCGATTCGGGGAGATAATATTGATCAGGGGTTTGGGAGAGCGGGCGTGAGAGATATTTATTCCACACATAAGAAAAGTAAAGCCGGTTGAGCAACATTGTGAGTGGGAGCGAGAGAAGAACGCTGAAGTAAAGCTTTTGAGCGGCAGAATTAAAAGCTTCAAAAGTGATCGAAAGAAAAAACTTTGAGAGCCTCTTTTTGGATTTATTATTGTATTTTATTATTTATTTTTTGCATTTTATTATTTTATTTGAATTATTGTTTTTTTTATATATTTTTCTTGGTATTTTTCTTGTGTTGCTTTTGGGTTTCACATTTTTTAGTGTTTTCTTGTTTAATGTCGATAATTAAATCAGCTTTTCGCTAATAACTAGAAAACAATTTTTTTTTAGCTTTAACTAACCCTCTGGTTAATGTTTTTCTGCTCTAACTAACTTTCCGCGCTTTCGCCGACGTATTTATATGAGTGAGTACAAACGCTTATTCACGTTATTGCTACTGCCCCAAAACACATGTCCCATATGCTTACCCTTACCCCAATGACCCTATAGGGTACCAAGAAGGTGCACCCAGAGAAAGAGAAAAATAATACCCTTATACGGTATAAGACCGAACAGATCGGGAGCGGCCTTCTGTCTCTCTGTTTCTGTTCAGAAAAAGCGTGGACGGAAGGCATCATTAGCCAAACCAGCAGATAAGCGAACCAAGGCTTTTTCGGACGGTGATCAGGATTTTTGCATCATCTGTCTGCACCGTCTGCCAAGACTCTGATTCCGATGATTGATGTTAAAAAGTGTTATCCTTCTTTTTCTTTATGCCAGCAGCCTCTTAAAATAAATAAACTTCCAATTTGTGATGACTTTCTTTCATTTTTTTTTTTTATTTTAAGCGAATTGTTCAGGGGTGTCCACAGTTAGGGCTATATTCTTTTTCTCGAAAAAAGATTACTTCACTAAATTATTGATAACATTTTTCTGAACAAAGGAATTAATTTAGTTCTTCACTGATAGTTAGATAATTCCTCTAGCTTCAAATTGGACACATCTGTTTGATTAATACTTACTAACTTTCTTGGGCTTCCACTAGAACGTTGTTTAGTGCCAGGAGACGGGTAAGAAAAATCCCCAGCGACTGGAATGTTGACTTCATCTTGGGGGTATTTCACACAATTTGCACACAAAACACGCAAAGTAAATCAAATCAAAACACACACTGGACAGACTACGCACATCGACGGCCTCGAGCTGGAGGGAGACTCAGCTGGATGGAGACAAAACGAACGCGCTGAGACGCTGACCAACTGATTGCAAACTCGGCTCCGAGAGGCCTTTAAATACCGCCATGCGATTCGGGGAGATAGTTTTGATCAGGGGTTTGGGAGAGCGAGCGTGAAATACATACATTTAGAGCTTCCTTTTGGTTTTCATATTTCATATTTTATTTGTTTTTATATACTTTTTTTTATTTTATTTTTATTTTATTTTTATGTTTTTTTTAAAATATTTTTTTTGGTATTTTCCTTGTGTTGTTTTTAGGTGTCACATTGTTATAGTTTTTTCTTGTTTAATGTCGATAACAAAATGGCTGCAGCGTTGCGCTATCTAACTAGAAAACTATTTTTTTTCTCTGGTTAATGTTTTTTCAGCGTTAACTAACTTTAACTATTTCCCCAACTGATGCCAAATTGGCGTTAAGTAAAGGTGGTCTTCATTATCCTATCATAGTGACGCTTCTCCGCAGGCGACAGCTTGCAGAAACCCTTTTCAAACAGCTTCAACTCCTCCCTGGTGTGCAGCGGTGGCCACAGCGTGGTATAGGCCATGGTTCTGAAAAGAAATAGAATGAAAATACGAAAAGCTTAAGATCTATGCTCACTAGAACTTACCTCACAAATTGCCAGGCACAATCTGCCGTTGGCTGATTGTCTATATGTTTTCTGATCTCTCGATTGAGTTGCCGATTGTACAGGCGCTTGGCCTCGCCATAGCGCTCCAGACAGCGCACATAACTAGATGAAAACGTTAAAAACGTTAATAGAAATATATACGAAATGGCTCTGCAACTTACAGTGGAACATGAAATGTTGCAAAATCCGGATCGATGAACATTTCCAAATCATCACAATAAGGTGGCGTAAATTTTGGATCATAAAACTCTTCAGGCACGTCCTGGTAATCCGGCACAATGTGTCGCTTGTCCTTGGGATGACGCAGACACATTTCTGGAAAACCAGCTGTAAAGTTTTCATCGATTGTGAAAACGGAGGACCAGCGAGAGTATCGCACAGCCGTTCCTGTTTCAATGGACCGTCTAGGTCCTAATGTCTTTCTACTGCCAATGGTAGCTCTGGCATCCATCTTGCTGGCCTATAAATGTATATTCCTGTTTATGTGTGGACGGTATAGAATTATTTTATGAGTGTGGAATGATTACACTTTATTCTTTGCCTACTCTGATCAGATGGGATGATCTTGATCGAAGTTTGCCTAGCACTTTAACTCGAAAGCCATATAAGTAAACAGACTTCAGTAGTCATAGCAACTACATCAATATAATAGCAATATATGTCCCTATATTTTGTATACAAATAACCATCACAATGGCGGATGAGAAACCTATGAAAAGGAAGAGCAGAGTGGCCGCAGGGCAGAAAACCATGAACTTCGGGCGTCACTCTTCGTTTCGCTACACTGATTCCTATAACTATCCCAATCTGGATACAGAAACGCAACTCTCGCAATTCAATGCGAGGAGCGTGGAGGAGACATATGAGTTTGAGGGTAACAAGTTGCCACGCGACGATGAGGCCGATGTTATGAGTCGCTTTCCCAGCTACACAAAGTTTAAGGTCAATTAGTAAGTATTAAATTCTGTAATTCTCCACGGGATAGTTTAATCTCCTCAAACACCTGCCCTTTGCAGTTCTGTGATTTGCCATCAACGCTATTCGAAGTCCTGTAGGGATTATGAGGCACAATTTCAGCGGGAGATTGCTAATCTGATTGATTTTCAGAACTCTGCCGTAGAGATGGTCAGCCTGGTTAGGTAACCTTAATCAGAGCTTAACGAGATGTAAACCAAGATGATGAAAAGGTTTTTTGTGTTTACAGGAATATGGCATACACCTCTTTGTGGCCGCCGATGCATAATCATGCGGAGCTAAAATACACGGATGCCAATTTCTTTCAGCTCACAAAAAAGGAGAAGAGGCGCTTCGACAAGATAATGTCTACGAAAATAGTATGAATCTGTGCAGAATTATGCTGCAATAAAATATATATATTTTGTTGTGTTTTACAAGAGAGAGAGAGAGAGCCATCTGCCATCAGCATCCTTCAATTTCACTCGCAACGGGAGCCAAATCAGCTTGCACTTCTGCCGCATTTCCTGCCACACTCTCAGGGCATCGTCTTGTTTCTTTTGCTGCCACACTCTCTGTGCATCGTGTTGGTCCTTTTGCTACGCTCACTGGGCGTCTTGGCCTTCTGCTTTTGACTCGTTGCCTTTCTGGATGGCAAACTGAAGTTTATGGGTCAGAAAGTCAACATATTGCTGCTGCTGCTGCTCTTCTTATACTCGTATCTATTTATTTATATGCTGCATATTCCTGACAAATTGGGAAATCTCTCTAGTTTCACCTTAACCGTGTAGTATGGAATTTAAATTTTAATTTCATTCGATGCATCTTGTTACAGATGGAAACAAAAGAGAGACCCCAGAGCATAGAGAACAAGCGGCAACGGCAAAGTGGAGCAAAAATCGAGTACAACTTTTGCGGAAAACTGGTTTTTCCTCTTGCCTTTCGGCATCGAAGCGTAGCCCATCTCCATCTCCACCTCGCGTCCGCCCTCAGCCTGCTTAGCTTCAATGAATGCTCCAACGCTCCGCTCCACTCCGTTCCTGGGATGCCTCTTTTCCCCCTTAGTCCCTCTCTGCTTGCGGGGTAGCTTTGTTTTTTGCTTGTCTATTCATAATTCTACGCCCATCCCTGACTATGGCTATGGCTGCACAGAAATTGAAAAGCAAACACGTGGCCCCTCCCCCCTAGTCCTAGTTGGCCTTAGCACCGGCTACATTGGGATTTTGTAGCCAAAGAGGAACTCTCGCTCTCAAACCCAGTGACACTTCGTCATGTCCTCGTCCTGCCGTCCTTCCAGCCGGCCTGCCTGTCGGTCACTTGTACTCGGGGTACGGGTTACCAGTACCAGTATTTAGGACCAGTTTGAGTCGCAGACGAAGTCGGAATTTCCAGTTTTGTGATGAGTGGCAGTGTCACTACATTCTTCTGCTTCTTCCCCCTTTTTTTTTTTTTGTCTATGTGTTTGCCCATTTGGTCGTTTTGTGTGCCTTTTCCTGGGCTGACTCCTGACTGGGCCCATTTTTGCGCTCTGTGGGCTTAGGTCAGCACTTTGCCATTTTGCCATTTTCATAGCTGCATGCACCATGGCTCATGGCTCCCATTGTCATCGTTCCATCTTCCATAGTCATTGCAGTGTCCGTCTGCGTGTCCTCTTGGGCATTGTTTAATAATTTTCCTGCTTAGACCTGGGCTTTTACGTGGCAGCATGCCGGAACTTCCAGCCACCGGTGGCGTCACACAAAAAGTCTTGTTGGGAATTTTTCTTCTATTTTTTTTTCTGCTCAACAAAAGCTGTTGCTACTAAAACTTTAAGTTTTCCTCTGTGCGCCCCCCATAATGATGGCATTATGAGGAGAGCCCCAGCGAGGCTCCAAAGCCGATGATAGGGTATCATTGCTAATTTTCTTTGCCACTGCCCTGAAGTTGTTGCAAAAGTTTAAACAAAGTTTAAAGCATTTACTCAGGCATCTTCAGTGGCGTAGGAGCAGAAGTAGCAGCAATAGCAGCAAAATGCAGGAGCAAGACAGCCATCAAAGGCAGACAGCACTTCAGTTGATTTCCGGTCGAGCAAGGAGCCATCAAGCTTGAGTAGTTGTAGTCGAAGTAGTCGAAGTAGTAGTCCTCGGATTCAATTGTGTGTGTGTGTGTGTGTGTGTGGATTCCAATGGGGTTGCGGCTGGGTTGTTCGAGTGGCTTGTATATTAATTGAAATTGAAAACACTTTCGAGTGTCCAATCAAGGGCCAACTCAGACTCATGCCGGTAATTATAACTCTGAGTTCAATCCAAAAGTAATCAGAAGTTATAAGAATTTCATGGCCATTACTGGAATTGTTTTCAGCTGTCAGAATGTCCCCCAGAATTTAAATATTTATTAGATATATGTATGTGTATGTATGTTTATTTTTGTGCAGCCAGAACAATGTTTTAATTAAACAAAAGAAGCAAAAAAAAACAACAAAAAAGAGTTTTGGGGGAATGCATAGAAATGCACCGAAATTTATGCCTCAATTTGTGTGGCTCTCTGCTGGTACCTGCTGTCAAGCATAAATTCCGCAGGAAACAAGCAAAAAATTTAAATTAGCTGGCACTCGGGAAATGGGAAAATGGGGGAAATGTGAAAAACATACAGATAAAAGAGAGAGAACCGTAGCGGGGAAACACACACACAAATGTAGTTGGCTTTTAATTTGCAATTGACCCTCGTCGCCTAGCCCCTTTCCCCTTCAATATTAATGAACTGTAAAGGGGTTCGCAACGGGGAAAACAAAAAATAAACTTAAACAAATGTATTAGGGTTAAAGCAAACACACATGCGAGAGCGAGTGCGAGTGCACACTGTACATGTACAGTAGAACACATGTTCAATTAGCTAAATGCCAGTTTTGTGTGGCATTTTTATGGTTTGGTCAGTGCACCATTTTGTGTATTCTGCTGCTGCTCTCTTTTTTATGCAGTGTAGGGCAAATGCAATTCATAAATCGCTTGCAATTTAATTAGAGCTGGAAAACGAGCTTCAAGAGCGTTTTCCCACACACTTTACCAGCACACGGAGTTTTCCAGCACGCGCTCATTAAATTAAATTTCAATTAGCCATACACACACGTCGGCGAGGCGAGCAAAGGAGGGGTGTGTGTGCTTGTGTGTGGGTTCTGGCCATGTTAATCAGTGGAGCGTGTGAAACGAAACTGTTGCCATTATTATGTGGCCGCATTGGCCAGAAACTTTGGCAGGGATTTCGTGGATTTTGGCTTTTGTTGTTCCTTCCGTGTTGCCATCCCCAGCGCCAGCCACATACCCTCACCGCCCACCTATTGTTTTTGTTTGCCTCGGCTTAAGGTGCTTCAAAACTTGGCTTAAACTTTGTTTAACGCCAGGTGACCTAAGCAACAGAATCTCTTGTGCATGAGCTAGAACCTTTGCAGGATGCACAGATAGATACTTGTGTATAGAAAATCAATGGCTTGGCTTAAGTTACTTAAAAGTTAGCTTTGCATCTGTATACTCTAGTGTGTTGGCTATATTTATAACCTGCTTTGTGGGGGGGTTAGTTAATACAAGAGCAATTATTGAAGGAAGATCTTTATCCAGCATTCTACCCAAGAACCTCTTAAAGATATCTATATCTTATCTTTTGCCTGAATGATTCAAGCAACCCCTTGAAGCTCTTCATCCCTGAGTTGAGCCACCAGGAACCCCTTACAGATCCTTCAAACCCATTTGCACATGGCATCCAATTTAATTAGCAATTTGTAATGCCAAACAAAACAATTTGTGCTGTGCAGTCGCATTATTAAAAGCGCAACTAAAAACCCGTTGACCCACATTTTTGTACCGCTTAAATGCTCAGACGTGACCTCCCACCCCCACTCGCCATTCAACTGTCTACCCATTTAGCTGTCTCCATTGCTAGATGTCTCAGTGCGTCTTTATGACTTTCACTGTGTCGTCAGACCGCCCCCACTCCCTTTTTCTGTGTGTGCAGGCAACAAACAATCCACCAGCAGCAGCAGCAAGCACAACAATGGGGCTTCAGTTGCAGTTGCAGGGCCCCCTGCCCCACTTACGCGTAGACTTGAAATGCATTTCACTGTCGCCCCCTACAGACGGGCCCTACATCGCTGGACGCTGACGCAAATCCCTAAACAGCAAGCGGCGACTAGGAAACAAGTCAACAAGGCCTAACACACAAATGCCACCAAATGTTGCATGTGGCACAGCCGCACATACGCAAGCACGCAAACATGGGCAGAGTCTCCTCCGCATGGACAAACATGACCAAAGTCAGCGAGAAAGTCGAGTCGAGACTGCGTTGCCGCTGCCGCTGCTGCCGTTGCATGCTTTATTAACATTTGGGATTCCCAAGCGTCACAAGTGGCACTCGCCCGGTGCCACACACAGCTTCCGCGGTGCGAGTGGGATAGCAACACATATTGCCATCTCGTTTTGGCGGCGCAAGCAATATATCGCCATCGCACACGCACACCAAAGAGAGTTCTGCAAAGGCTAAGAGAGCGAAAGCTCTGCCAGCCGAGCACCGAGCACACGAACTGCATTCGGCTGCCGACTGCAGCTTCGTATTCAGTGTGGCTCGTCCTTTGCTGTGAGGCAGTCGAAGGACTGCCAGTCGCGCACCAAAGTACGCCATCCTTTTTTTTGTTGCTTCTCGAAAAGAGTTGAAAAACTTTTTACGAGAAAATGGGGCAATCTTCAAGAGTGGAGGAGGACTCGCCCTGACTCTGACTTTGGTAGCCCAGTAGCAGAATGTATTGACATAGTTTCAGTTTCAGATAGTTTCTGGCTGGCTTCAAAGTCATTCAGGTGCAATGCAAGAGTTGAAAGGAGAAAGTTCCGGGTCCCCGTGCCTCTGCCCCTGCCCCGTGCCTTGAATGTATTTATTTTTATTGCTGTTCATTAGTTGGCAGTTGCCATAATTTCAATTTTATAGTTTCGCCAGCATTTAATTTATGGTGAAAGCCGAAACTTTTGCGCAACCCCCAAAAATTGTTTTCAGTTAATGCATTTTTGGGTGCAGAATTTTTGATTGGTTTTTGGCATCCGCGCGGCACGGGGGCATCAAAGTTTCGGGGCATTGGAATATTAATTTTCCACCGAAATTGGAGCGAGAAAAATTAAAGTCCATTTTAAGTAGTTTGTGGCACATAATTCATATCGTAAATACGAGGCCCACCACCCGCATGAAATAAATCAAACGAAATTGATGTTTAGCCCCCACACCACACCACCGATATGTATGTAATTTGCTGATGGTGCGAGCCACGATATCAAATTAAATGTAAGCCGCTTTGCATCGCATATACTTAGGAATTCCATTGAAATATGTATTTATGGCATGCCCCATTGAGGACCTCAATTGACCTTTATAGATATTTTCCAGCTGGTCGGCGGTGGCCATTAATGCAAATTGAATAGTCGTATAATAGTCCTCAAAATTATGCACACTGGGCAAAGCCATGTAAACCCCTTTAATAACCCAAAATTATTTATTTCATTTATTCTCCTACCTATTTTTAGCTGGCAATTTAACTCTTCCATGTGATACGTGCGTGAAATGTAATATTTTCATCTTTTTGCAGGTGGGTTTTGGGCAAGCAAAAAACTTGCCAACACGCAAATGCTGGCAGCCATAAATTTTAGCATGCTTTTGTGCTAAAAAGTGGCCAACAGTTTTGTTTGCCACGTGCAGTCTCGTTTTTGGCTGCCTGACTTTTTACACATGCCATCAGGGAGGCGGTTCTGGGCTCCCTCCACTCCACTTCTATCCAATCTACTTCCTGTCCCATGTGTGCGTGTGTGTGTGTGTGTGTGTTTGCATACCACCAAAGCGGAAGTTCTGATCCTCCTGACGGGCAAACCTAGCCTAGGCAACAATTGCAGCATATTTAGCCGCTTGTTTTGTGAAAACTCTATTTAATTTCAGTTGTTCTTTGTTTCGTTCTCGTTTTTCGGTTTGCTCACGTCTCAGTGCACTTTTCTCTGCGTGTGTGTGTGTGTGTGTCGTGTCCCTTCCTCATTGCCTCTCATTTTTCATCTCTGCTGCGTGCTGCGTGCAGCGGGAAGTTTTTTTGCTTCGCCTTTTCCTTTTCCTTCACCTTCTCCTTTTTCGTTGCCGCTCTTTTCCAGGGGTCCGTGCGGCCCAGCCGATTTTGCAGCATTTAATTTAAGTTACAGCACAAGCTGCCGAGATTTATTACTGACCCTTAACAAGTCTCCGCTGTACGCTGTCCGCTGTCTGCTGTCCGGCTGGTTGCATGCCCCTTTTTGTGTCCTTTCCTCTCAGTGCTTTCACAATTTTTTTGTGCGTTTCCCCCAAAAGAAGAGCTGGAGGCAGGACACCATATAAGAGATGTATTTTCTTTTTTGGGTAGCCAGCAGCCTGTTCTTTCTAGTGTTATATTTTTTTTATTGAAAATTACACAGGAAAGAACTTTTAGGTGAGCGCTAGAACAAAGCCAGAAGGGAATAAAATAAAAAAAAAATGAATATTGATTTTAGCTTTATTTAATTGCCTTTCCTTTGGGTAGATTTTTCATAGTTTTCCTTTTCTTTGCACATGCAAATTTATACATATTTTTTGAAGGCAACAAAAAACTAACATTTATCTTCATAAGAATAAATTGATGTCATCAAAGTAAAAACCGAACCGAAAACTTGTTCAACCTTCGACCTGTGTGCTCCACGACGACCCCCCGGGAATGGAGCGACTATTTCGAGCAGTGTGCAGTGAGCTTCGAGGCTTGACCCGGGCCAAAAGCCCATAACCAATCTCGGTACAATAAATTAAACCTAAACAATTCATTCGACTGCTCGGCTCCTGCACGAGTAATCGTAGGTCCATCCAGGCTGTCTCTGTTTCAGCTGCGAGCTCCATCAGAGGACATATAACCAAGTAGGAGCAGCAGGACATGGAGAGGTAGAACGCTGGGCAATAAAGCAGAAAGCCACTTCTTAGTTTGCTTGCAGCTCGAGCGGAAACCATATAAATGCGGAAATGATAAAAATGCCTGCGAACATGTTTTCCGAGCGTATGCGATAAATTGCAATGGCAATGGAGGGTCCTCCCTCGGTCAGGGTCTGGGTCTCTCTCTCTCTCCTCTCTTAGCCACATGTCCCACGATGGCTTCTGCTGCAGCCAGACAATAAAATAATAATAAAAAAATAGAACAAAGCTGGCAGAGCAGACGACATCGACAATGATGAGGTTGAGTGTGTGATGCCATTGGGTTCGGTTCAGTTCTGGGTTTAGTTTCAGGGGTTTCCATTCGGTTTCTGGTGCGACTGTTCAATAAATGAATGTGGCCAAATGGAGGGCGACGCTGCGACGTTATACAAAACAAACACATGCCCCCAGAGGGAAAAGGAGAGACCCAGCCCAGACAAACGAACAGAGTGGCGTAGCAGCACACAGCCACACCCACACCCACACCCAGTGTGACTGCCAATTTAATGAAATTGTTTTACACTCAATTGAGTTGCCAACTGAAAAAGAAAAAGAAAACGAAAGGCAAAAGCAAAACCCAACTAGAACTATAGACAACCAAAGATACTCGTAGAAGGAAGCTTGTTTCGCTTTTTGGAGCAGATTTCGCTGGGTAATTTGCATTGCCTTCCAAAGGAACGACAGACCCACATTTGCCTTGGAGTTAATCTTTTCTAATACAAAATTGCTGAAACGATGTCAGCTTATGGCCACACACACACACGCACAAGAGATGCTCTGTGTCTCTTGCTCTTTCTCCTCTTTTTATGGAATTTCTAATGACTTTTGTCAAGCAGTCACATGTTCATGTTCATGCTACACAGAAAGCATCTCTGACAGTTTGCTTTTAAAAAAAATTGTCCACCCACAAAACGCTGCAATCTAACATTGAGCTCAGCTTTGACTTTTACGATTATGTTACGGATGAATGGGGAGAGATGGGGGGGAGATGGTTCCCCAGTGAGTCTGGTCTGGGTCTGGGTGGGTTTTGCCACCGCGCGCGTAATCTGTTTCTATTACGTTTGCTTATCTGCATGCGACTCACATGTGCGTTTCCAGCACCCACCGCTCAGCCGGGACGGAACGGAGCTTCTCCTAATGCAGTAATAATCGTTTGCTCGTATTCCCGGAATGACTGCGATGACCTTGCTCTGTGTGTGGCCAGAGATCTCGACTCGACTCTAGAGCGTTGCCGGTAATTGGCTTAGATTATACCGAATTGGTTTCCACAATCTACTTTCAGTATGGGGGTCCGGTCCTGACCTTGTTAGGCAATGAAGTTATAAAGCGAAAATTGCTTGTCACAAATGAAAATTATCAACTTTTATATAGCCTCAAAAGAGACAGAGACAGACACAGACAGAAAGAGAGAGAATGAGAAAGCGAGTGGGAAATGCGTAAATTGAATTTCGGGGCAGGGAATTTGGGCACTTTTCTATGCAGAATATGTCAAACAGATAAAAAGAGACAAATGTGCTGTCCGTCCGTCCGTCTGTCTGTGGGAATGTTTGCGAAATCTGCCGGATTTTGTCTGTGTCTATTTGACAAAGGTCACCCGAAAATAAATCAAATATTTACCCAACATTTCGTTTATTCAAATTGAAAAGTCTTTGGCACACAGAGAGAGCGACGCCTTCGTGCTTGATAAATATGTTTTTCCCGGGGAAAAAGCCAAATCAAAATCCAATGTGTCAGTGGACGGGGGGTCCTTGTGTTTGGTCAATTGGGAATTGTCCAATAAAACGATTGCGAATGGCAGAAGACTGTACATAATTTATTCAATGGCATGACTGATATTTAAGCCCAAGAAATGCTTCGATAAATTTGCACTTGCTCGAGGTTAATTCACACACATATTGGATAATAATTTTGCTGGAATGTCCCCTCCCCACCCCACAGCAATTACACAAATCATTCGCCTCTATAGCCACTCCGCCTTTTGGCTGGCTGGCTGGCTGGCTGACTGGCTGGCTGCCTCTGCCTGAGGGTCAGCTGGCAATTGTGACAGCTCAAATATCAAAAGCGATTTCAATTAAGAGCCCAACCTTTTAATTAAGCAGATAAAGTGCCCCATAAAGTGATAGCGAGAGAAAGAGCAGAGAGCAGAAGGCCAGATGTTCCGGGACACAGGACATCCACTCGATTATGAGCTCATATTTAATTAAAACTAATATTTAGAGCTAAGCTGACACCGAAGGCAGGCGCTGTGCCAGAGCATCAGTGGAGCTCCCGAAGCCACTTAAGTGCTCGTTAAGTTAGTGGGTTGTGTGTGCGAGAGTCAGGGACTCAACCAGGACTCAAGTTCTCGCATTACGTGTATGTGGCAGACTGTAATCAGCGCCTGACACACACACACATTGTGCTGTGCATTCTGTGGCTGAATTGAAGGTAGAAAAAGTAGCGAACGTGCATCAATTTGAATGCATAATACCAGGGAGCAGTCTCGGTCCCAGTGCCGACTGTGGCAATCAGTTACTCCCAAGATGGCATTAACTACAGCCAAATGCATATTGAACAGGATGTCGATGTGGGGAAGTAGAGAGAGGCACAGAGTCCTTCCATTCTTCCCTTAAATCAGCACCAGGCAACACAGCACTCGATATGAATGGCGAAAATCTTAAGCCGCGTACGTGAGCCACAACAACAGCAGAAGGAGCATCAGCACCAGCAGCAGGAAAAGATGGTGAAAAGGAGCAGAAGCAGGCAGCGAAAATTGGAAAGGAAATGCGCTGCTGTGCGGCATTGCTGTTGCCACTCCTCCCCAGTGTGCCGCTGCTTCTGGCTTCGACTCTGCCTCTGCCTTCGACTCTACCTCGCCAAACCATTGTGCCACTCGGTCTCTCCTTTTTTGCCTCTCTGAGTCTCTGACGCTGCTCATTCTCGGTGCCTTTCCATTAAAAGGGATTATTTATTTTATTTCGTTATGCGCGGCAAACAGCTTGTGTAAAGGATTTAAGCGTCTGCTGAATGTGGCAAGAGGCACGGCACACACACACACACACACACAGAAGCAAGGCAAGCAGCCCAATCCAATCCCCAAGCAACCAAATCCTCAGAGCCCTTCTCTTTCCATATAATGAAATACACAAAAACTTAAAACCAACAAACCAGCAAGGACACAACCAGGCAAAGGGATGAGCGAGAGGAGAGAGTACCAGTGGGCGAGAGTGCGAGTGCGAGTAATATTAAATTCGAGCCGCACTTGCACTTGTTAGAGCCGCTGTAAGATTATAATTCTGCTACACAGCGGCCAAGAGAACTATAAGGATATTTACAGATATCCTGGAACGATGGGCAAGAGCAGTGCAGACACAGGACCCCAGCCAGGACAATGCAGATAGGCGTTGGGGATAATAAAATATTATGCAACTGGGACTGGAAGTGGCACTGGCACTGGCAATGTGGAAAGTGGAAATGGGCACTGTGCTGAGGCTGCAGACAGGAAGCAGGCGCCAAAGCGGAAATGGAAAACTTGAATATAAAAGTGGACTGGGAAAGCCACGAATGTGCAAGTGTGTGTGTGTGTGAAAAGTTGATAGCCTCTGGAGAGTTCAACTGGCTGTGACCTAATAATTGTAGCTGGATTATTGGAAAAATTAGTAACAGACTGGGTAAAACTTTGAGAATAAACTACCTAAGGAACACTTCCTTTGCTTGCCGCTGAATCAACAGCATTTACAATGAGTTAAATAACTCAAAATAATGCCTTGAAAAATGCCAGCGACAGCAGCATTTCCTTTCCTCTTAAAGGATCAACAGAAATTCGCAGAAAAAATATTAATTAAAATGCTTATTTCACAAGTACAGTTCCGCTCTCGGATAACGCATTATAATTGCACTTTATTGTTCTTCACATAAGTATTTATAAGTGCGTATGAGTGTGTGAGTGCGTGTCCATGCGATTCGTGTGTGTGTGTGTGTTTGTAAGTATCTGTGTGATCCGCGGTTACGCGGAGACCCACGGTTAATGGACCACAATCCAAGCAGAAAATGAACTGCAATACGCAAGATGCTCTGTGTTTATGACCAAGACCCCTCCATGGAGGCTTTATAATTAATACCTGCTCGAATTGACAGAAAAAGAGAGAGAGAGAGAGAGATGTGGTGCAAAATATGTAGTGGGCGAAGTTTGCTGTGGGCTTGGAAAAGTGGCTTGGAGGGGTAGGATATTTTCCACTGGGAAAACTCAAGCGGAATACTCGTAATTGTAATGATAATGTGAAGCGAAGCGTTGCAGGCCATTAAACTTTTCGCACAAGACATATACACATACAACTGCATACACCTACCCGAATTAAACAATAAAATATTTAAAAATATTTCACAGACGTGAGCGTAAAAGTCTGCATTTTCTCTTTCATTTTTTTTTGCTCTCCCTCTCTTGTAGTTTCATCTTTTATTGGATTTTCCCTTGCGGAAGGTAGCTGGCACTCAGCGAAGAGACAAGAAACTAGAAAAATAGCAACTCAGCAATCAAATATATATATATATATATATATGTATATATATATATATATTTGCGATCAGCATCACTTGCATTAATCATATTATTTTGTCTTAATGACAATTAGATACTTTATTCGTTGTCCCTTCAGGCTGTACACTGCCATTAACTCCTATAAATGATCATCAATTTATCACAGTAAAAACCAATCTTAAAGTGTATTTAAAGCTTCGGCTCCTTCGCGATGTTGTTGGCTGCTGCTTTTCCCTTTATTTTATTATTCTTATTACAGTTTTTACTGTTATGAGAGGCAAGACAAAGGAACTCAAACCGAAACTTTAACTGGAATGGCAACAAGGAATGACTGAGTGAGTAAGTGGGTGGGGGAGTGGGTGGGAGGATGGTGTGGTTGTGGCAGGATGGGGTCGGGGTCTGCTGCTACTGCTGTGGCTGTTGCTGCTGCGGTTCTGCATGGCTGCAGCTCCTGTGGCTGCCACGTGAAGTGTGTGCCATGCTCGACTTCTCACCTGCTTGCCACAGCAATGGATGGCCAAGCAGCAGCCATAACATCATTGCGAAAAAGAAACCCAACGGATGGGTTCCTGGAAGAGCCAGGATTAAATGGCCAGCCACTCGGTCAGTGCTCTGGACTCTGTGTACTGTGGACTCTGGGACTCGGACTTACTCTTTATGGGACAGTCAACAGAAGAGTTGAGGTTGACTCTTTTTATGGAGCCGTAAGTAGTTATTATTGTGGGGCGGCAGTAAATGTTTATAGACAGCCTCTAATGGCCATCAAATGTGGTTAACTGGGTGTAAACTCAATGAATAATATTCAGGATATGAAAATAAATGTAAATAAAAGCGCTGGCACTCTTTAAGGATGCTCCTTCTCAATCATTCTGTTGAATATCTTTATCCAACCAAAAGAATTCACATCACATGGCATAAAAAGAGTTGAGAACTCTGCATACATCTCGTGCTATTTTTATACCCGTACGCTATTGATGCTGATCAAGAATATATATACTTTATGTGGTCGGAAAAAAATTACCACAAATCTAATATACCCCTTAACTCTTTTTTGAGTACTTGTATAAAAATAGCAAAATAGCACAAGAAGAAAATACCTGAAGACCACCAAGAAGTCAAGCAATGAAATGCAATGCAATAAACCAAAAAATTAAAATAAAAACCTCCACTGGAACAAGCAAAAAGCAGTTTAATTTTCAGAAATTTTCCTCCGCTCATCAGATCAGAGCAGAGCAGAGCGGGGAGTGTTCTGAATATATGTATTATAGGTATTATAGGTATTATAGGTAGATAATTTCACACTCTCTATGAGTTGTTTTAGAGCTTTTCTGTGCTGCTTTCTGAGGCATATGAGTGAAATACAGTCAGTGGATTACCTTCGAAGTCAGAAGTGTGGCGTTCTGCTGCTTTCAATTTGAAAGAAAATACAAAAATTCTACCAAAACATAAACTGACAAAAATCAATAGATTTTGCATGTGTTTTACTTGCATGGAAAAGTATTTCATCTAGTTAGCATTTACTTTTCTGTTCGTATCGTTTGATTTGAGGCTGGGCAATATTTCATTCTAACACTGATTTTTGACCAGCACGGAAGTTTTTATTTTTTTTAATTTCAATCGTTTAAAAATGTTTAAGTCTCTGACTGTTTCA